CGCCAGGCTTCCCTGTCCTTCACCATCTCCCGGAGCTTGCTCAAACTCATGTCCATTGTCTCCGTGATGCCATCCAACCATCTCATCCTCTGTCGTCTCCTTCTCCTCCCGCCCGCCTTCAATCTTTCCCAGCATCAGGGTCTTTTCTAATGAGTCAGCTCTTCACATCAGGTGGCTAAAGTATTGGAGCTTCAGCTTCAGCATCTGTCCTTCCAATGAATATTCAGGGTTGATTTAGGATTGACTGGTTTGATCTCCGTGCTGTCTAAGGGACTCTCAAAAGTTTTCTCCAGCATAAATAAATATTTTTAAACAAAAAAAAACCACTGCAGCGACTGTGAGAGAAAGTTATTGCCTAACATGGAAAACCCTAGCGCTTGCTTTGCTAGATTCGGTATTACAATATTCCATCTGCTCTACCAGGCTCATTGTGAGGAGCACTATTATTTTATACACCACTAAGGAGGAAAAACCCAACAGTGAAGATGGAGCATCTGATTGGAGACCCCACATAAGGCGGGGGCACTGCAGGGCTGCACCTTCAGGGCTAATCTCCCGCACACTGAAACGGGAAACGAGGAAATCCCAGGTTTTATCTTGGCACCCGGAGAGGGCGGGAAACAAAACTCTGCCCTGAGAACTTGAACCGGAGGCCGGAGCTCCCAGAGCTGGGTCATCTAAATTGGCACAGTCGGTGTGGTCCAAAGGAAAACAAACAGAACACAACCCGCGGGACGTCCCTGGTGGTCCAGTGGTTAAGACTCCCCACTGCCACTGCAGGGGGCGGGGGTTCCATCTCTGGTTGGGGAACTGAGATTCCATATGCTGCATGGCGCAGCCAAAAAAAACCTCCAAAATCCAACCCTCAAGCAGAGATTTTAATTTAAAGAAACTTTATGTGGAGAGTGTTCTGAGTGGCAGACGGAAGCAAATTCCAATCCTTCCCGGACCATAATAGGAAAGGCTTCCCTGGTGGCTCAGATGGTAAAGAACCCACCTGCAATGCGGAAGAACCAGTTCGATCCCTGGGTCAGGAAGATCCCCTGGAGAAGGGCATGGCAACCCACTCCAGTATTCTTGACTGGAAAATCCCATGGACAGAGGAGCCTGGCAGGCTACAGTCCACGGGGTCACAAAGAGTCGGATATGACTGAGCAACTAACAATACCAACTCCAAAGATGTGAAAACGTGAAGAACTATGAGTCTTAAAACCTGTGAAATATGGCCAAGTGAATAAAATGTCGATTTCCAGTTTCTCCCCATCTGGACCCACCTCCCAGAGCCCACAGCATGGGATGCATAGTGGCATCTGCTCTCCAAGCCTGCACAGGGGCCTGTGACCCCGCCTAGTTCACCCCAGTAAATGCAAACACTGGTGAATCCGCTCAACACGAAGGCTGACTCAGGTAGGACCGCTCCCCTGCACCAAGGCAGGAATTCAGTTGACTCACAGCCCAATCGCAACTCAAAAAGCAATTGACCTTTCATGCGTCTGAAAGCTGCAGGCAGACATATCCGGTGGCACGGAGCTGGCAAGTGTGTAGGCAGCTGCAAGTTTAATAAATCTTAATTATTCTGTTTATATAAACAAGCAGGCTGAAGCCACTGACGTAGCTGGAGCTTTCAGTGGCTCGGGGCGCGGAAAGAAAAAAAAAGCGTGGAGGGCCAACGGCTCATAAATAATTAGCTTTGGAGCAGGGTTTTTTTTCCCCCCTTCCCTTTGGACTAAAAATAACATACGAAATGTTTTTAAGTTGGCAAGATTACAAGCCCAGAAGACAGTGTCTAGTTTCTACCTGTCAGACCTGCGTGCGTCTGTGCACACCTGCACATGTGTGCATAACCCCCCCCCAGCAAACAATGTGAGAACCACACCAAGGGGAGGATTCCACCCCCACCCCCATCTCCACTCCCAGAAGTGGCATTAGCTGTCTTCCGTCTGAAAGAGAAGCAGGACATTGTCTGCTAGCATCCAGGTCCTCATTTATAAAGCAATTCAGAAACTGCTGGTTTATAAGAACTCTTAGTTCTGAGGACCCGCATTTCATTCATTGGAAAACCATGGTTAAGAGCCTTGCAAAGCATAGCACACACTAATGGTGGATTCTGGGTGCAAATCAAGAGCATAAAGCAATGGTTCTCCAAGTTTGGTCCCCAGGGCTGCAGCAACAGCATCACACGGGACCTTGCTGGAAATGCAGATCCTCGGGTCACCCCAGACCTAACACACCAGAAACTCTGGGGTGGAACCCAGAAATCTGTGCTTAATAAACAAGCTGTGATATAAAGGGGCCCCAGATGGCCTCTGAATATTGGCCTCTGGGGTTGCTTGCTTCTTCACAGGGAGCTGAGACCCAAGAGCTCAAAAGCCAGCCAGCACCAAACTCAAAACTTTCACACATCCGTTTGATTTTAAATGTAGCCGAACAAGCAGAATTTGGGGGCCATTTAGAGCCTGCCTGCTTTGCATATCCCACAAAATGGAGTCCAACATCTGCCAGCCATAGATAAGATCAACCCTGCATCTGCGGCTTCCCTGGTGGCCCAGTGATAAAGAATCCGCCTGCCAATGCAGGATACACAGGTTTGATCCCTGATCAGGGAAGATCCCATGCACCGCTGGGCAACTAAGCCCATGTACCACAACTACTGTGCCTGTGTCCTATAGCCCACGAGCCCCAACTACTGAAGCCCGGGTGCCCTAGAGTCTCTACTTAGCAACAAGAAAAGCCCCTGCAATGAGAAGCCTGCACACAGCAACTAGAGGGTAGTCTGCACAGCATTGAAGACCTAGGACAGCCAAAAATAATAAATAAAATTATTAAAAAAAAACAAACACACCTGTAGCTGTAAACACCGCAAGCCACTGCTATCCTCGGACGTTCCCTGGCCAGAAACATGCTATTGTGCTGGGCAACACCAGCTGTGGGGAGAGCCTTTCTCCGATTCCCCCCTCCACCCTGCCCATCCCGCTGGCATGCACAGTCTACCCTGGCAGGCCTTTGCCCTGGGAATCTATCCCAGGTACTTGCAACAGTGCTCATACAAAGTCAGAGCTCAGTAAACATCTGTGAAGTGAATCAGTGACTGAGGGGACAGGCAGTGAACACAGAGCCGTGAGCACTCCGTATGAAGCCGGTGACAGGCTGCCAGGGACGGGAGCCTGCCCTGGAGGGTGGGTGTCAGCCAGCCAAACAACCCTTCCACTCAAAAACACCAGGGGACCCAGAAAGGACTCCCCCTGAACTCTGGCCTGGGAGCTACTCAGATGGGGGCTCCCAACCAGAGTGGGGCTTAACGGGCAGGAGCTGGAGGCAGCCTGGACACGTGGCCCCGGGCCCTCAGGCGCCACCAGAGTCACAGGCTGGGCTGTGTGGTGACCCAGCCTTCTTGATGCACTCTCCTACTTCACGAGAAGCACTTTGCTCTTCTAAATTAGGAGAAACCAGGGCTTCAGGCTCTCCTCTCAAGAAAGAACAGCAGCTCATATGATCTTCAAAATTCGTTCATGAAGTCAATAAAGTCAGCGTTGATGGTTCTATTTTACAGATGGGGAAAGAAAGTCCCCAGAGTCAAAGCGACTTGCCCACCAGGCCCAGAGCACAGCATTGGTCTGGTGACTGCCCCGTCCTGTCTTGGGAACATACACTATCCTGCAGATGGAGACATGAACACCAGCTGGAGACCAAGACCTCTGGGTGGGCAGAGCCCCTGGGAACACAGACTCCACGGCCCGAGAGATCTTGAGGCACCGGGGCTCTTGGGAGCAGAGCACGCCAGAGGCTTATGTCGTCATGAGCCAGTGCTTGGCAGGACAACAAGCTTGCTCTCAGAGGACTTCCCTGGTGGTCCACGGGATAAGAACCGGCCTGCCAATGCAGGGGATATGGGTTCCATTCCTTGTCCGGGAAGATCCCATATGTTGCAGAGCAACTAAGCCCGTGCAACTATGGAGCCTATGCATTGTGACTCCTGAAGCCCAGGAGCCTAGAGTCCGTGCTCTGGAACAAGAGACGCTGCTACAATGAGAAGCCCACACACCGCAACTCGAGAGCACCCCCCACCCGCTGCAACTAGAGAAAGCCCGCACACAGCAACCAAGACCCAGTGCATCCAAAAGCACTCAAATACAAGTTCAAACTTTAACTCCTCCAAAGCAAGCCTGCTCTCAGAAGAGGTGGCAGCGGGGACGCCAATGTACACTGGACCGTTCCACAAGTGGGGAGAGCCGCCAGGCCCAGGGATGCCTTCTCCAAGGCACCGTGTGGAAGGGCAAGGGTGGGCTCAGAGTCTGAGGCAGAGACCGCTCAGGAGCCGTGTGCCTCCACCAAACACGTCACTGCCGTCTTGTCATTCCTTGCTTCGTTCATGCCTAGCATGGCGGTAATGATGCCTGTTGGATGACTGGGGGACGGTGACATGAAACGCCCTAGGCACGATCTGGTACAGGTCCTGGCACAGAGTGGATGGTCAACATGTAGCATTTACAGTAATGGTCATTATTCCTCATTATTCCTGTAAGTAAGGCTCTTACTGCCATGGCTCTGGCCGGCAATCCCCCATGGAGGGGCTCTGAGCACTTCTCAGAGTCTGGCAGTGGAGACACCGGCTGGTCGAACATGATTGGCACAGCCCCCCTTCCTCTTTCGGGCCCCATGAACCCCAGATGCTCGTCTACTACTCAGCTGGCCGTGAGGTCCAATGGCCTGGAGTGGTCCAGGTCTCTCTGGACCCTCCCGATTTACGCCTGTTGTCACAGCATAATCACTAACCGTGTTCTTGCTCACACCCCCGTGTCCTGTCTGAGCTGAGTACTCACCGTGCATCCTGCAGAACAAGGACCCCCAGGTCTAGCAGGGCAGCCCAGAGCCGAGTCCCCAGGAACATTCCTCACGGAACCTTCCAGAAAGCCCAGGGGTCCTGCCCCAGCATCCCAGGCCCACCAACCCTCCAGACGCCCTGCCCTCTAGCCGTGTGGAGCAGACAGCAGACACGGTACCTTACGGAATCCAGTCGGCTCCCCTGGAGGGCTCTGCGTCTGTTATTTTAGGGAAAGAGAGGAAAAGGGGAAAGGGAAAAAAAAGAAGTTAAGTGAGTGAAACTTAAATCCCAGCAGAGACTGTAATGGAATATTCATTTTGTCAGGGGAGTGTTTCTTTAAAACTTCTGGTCATCTGGACAGGCTGAACCAGCAGGTGATTCAATTTAATGAGCTTTTTAACGCACTTGGGGCCCAGGTGGGATCCTGTCTGGGAAGGCCTGGGCCAAGGCCACGGGCGCACCGACCTGCCTGCGGCTGGGCTGACACCTAGTGGCTGATGCGGCTGCTTTCAGGGCCAGCAGAGCTGGAGCCCCAAAGCTTGGAGTCCAGGGTCTGTGGGTCCTTGGGGCCCTCGGTGGCCATCTCACCCACCCTTTCCCTGGACTAACCTCCATGCCTCAGTTTCCCTATCAGTTCTCAGGGGATAATAACAGTACCTCCTTTATAGGGTAATGAGGATATAGCGTTTAGTAAAGGCTATTACTAGTCTTGGAGAAGGAAATGGCAGCCCACTCCAGTATTCTTGCGTGGAAAAGCCCATGGACTGAGGAGCCTGGTAGGCTACAGTCCATGGGGTCGCAAAGAGTCGGACACGACTGAGCGACTTCACTCACTCACTCACTCATTACTAGTCTAGCTGTTATTGTTTTGTGTGAGACGGTGGGCCCCTAGGGGGCTTCCCAGGTGGCACTAGCGGTAAAGAACCCACCTGCCAATGCAGGAGATGTAAGAGACATGGGTTCAATCCCTGGCTCGGGAAGATCCCCTGGAGGTGGGCACGGCAACCCACTCCAGTATCCTTGCCTGGAGAATCCCATGGACAGAGGAGCCTGGCGGGCTACAGTCCATGGGGTCGCAAAGAGTCCGACACGACTGAAGCGACAGCATGCACGGGGTCCCCCAGGGGAAGGTGCTTCCTCAATGTCACAAGCAGGTTAGTGGAGGAAGCGGCCTCAATCCCAGGGGTCCGAGCCCCCAATCCAGCTTCCCTCTGTTGTGCCTCCATCAAGGGGTGTTTGATGCTGGCTCTGCCCCTGGCTATCCATCTGGGTGAACTCGGGTGAGTTTTTAACTCCTCACAATGTCTCACCCCCCTTCTGTAAATTGGAGATGCAATTACTCCAGCGGACGGCTGCTGTGAGCACTGAATTGGGATGATGCCCCTAGAGGTTTCAGGTTGGCAGAGCAAAGCTGTCGTTCTTGGAACTCAGCCTCACTGGGTGCAGAATGGCCAAATGACACGTTGCAAGTCAAGTGCCTAGGACCTATGCGTCTCCAGCACCTCTCCCAGAGTGATCCCTCAGTCTGGTCTGTCGAGGTGTGGGTGGCATGGATGCAGATTGAGCTATGTCTCGCCAGGGCCTGGGACCTGTGCGGCCTTCGCACCTACCAGCAGGTGGCTGGAGTCCTTGAGCTTGGACTTGTAGAGCATCCACCTGTAGCGCAGATCCTCTAGCTCGTCCGATGAGCTGCGGGCTGGCCTGAGATGAAGGAGGTTTTCGAAGAGATGCTGACCTTCTGGTATTCGAGCCTCCAGCTCCTAGAGGGAAAAGACAGGGTCATGTGCACCTTCCAAATGGCTGAGGAGGCCCCACCTGGTTGGTAAGGAGGAGCCAATCAAATTCCATTTGCGGGGGCAGCCAACAGAACACATAAAGTGAGAACTCTTATCGTGCAAAGGGAAGCCAAGGCCAGGAATTGCTCTCTGCAACGTGGCAGAATGGACTTCTGCCTGAAAGAGGAGCTGCTATGCTGACCTCCATGGTCACTTCTAGCTCTGGCATTCCATTATACACATGACATAGATTTATACTGTGTATGACTGGGGAAAGTGAAAGCCACTTAGTCATGTCCGACTCTGCAGCTCCATGGACCGCAGCCCACCCTGCTCCTCTGTCCATGGAATTCTCCAGGCCACAATACTGAAGTGGGTAGCTATTCCCTTCTCCAGGGGACCTTCCGAGCCCAGGAATCGAACCCAAATCTCCCGCATTGCAGGCAGATTCTTTACCCACAGAGCCACCAAGGAAGCCCTCTGGCATTCGAGAACCAAGTTCTGCAGAGGACTTGAAGTAAGGGCTATTATCCCTATAAAAGCTACGACTGCTCATCGACAGAGGGAAGGATAGAGATGATGTGGTGCATACATACAGTGTAATATTACTCAGTCATTGAAAAATATGAAACAATGTCATTTGTAGCAACACGGATGGACATAGAGATGGACATACTTAGTGAAATAGGTCAGACAGAGATGGAGAAATATCATATGACTTCCCTTATATGTGGAATCTAAAAAAAGAAATGATACAAATAAACTTACGGAACAGAGAGAGACTCACAGACAAAGAACAAACCTGGTGCTGGGGGAAGGATGAGGAGAAGGGATAATTAGGGAGTCTGGAATGGACATACATACACCGCTATATTGAAAATGGGTGACCAACAAGGACCCGCTGTAGAACACATGGAACCCTGCTCAGTGTTATGTGGCAGCCTGGATGGGAGGGGAGTTTCAGGGAGAACGGATACATGTGTATGTATTGGTGAGTCTCTTCACTGTACACCTGAAACTATCACAACATCATTCATCAGCTATACCCTGACATAAAATTAAAACTGTGTTTTTTTTTAAAAAGCTACTGTTGTTGAATATGTCTTTCTATTGGCATTTTTACTCCTGGCAGAGTGAGGTTGGGACTGGGCAGATTTTTCTATCAGAATACAGTACTGTGTTCCCCCATGATGGCATCTTTTATCCTCAGGACTCCTGGGAGGGAGTGCCATGTGAGGATACGATCTGGGTCCTAAGTCCAAGAGCCCGAGTTTAAATTCTGGCTTGGGGTCCAGAATCTGTCCCATCACATAGCTGAGAAGCTAGCACACAGCCTAGCTTCTCAGAGCCCTCGGGAGCGGGGACTCTACACGAACAAAGAAGCTTAACCCGGGGACTGCAAGTCATCTCTGGTATGCCTGGGGCTGGGTGGTGGTGGCAGGGGATGAGAGGAGTGGCTGAGCATGAAGTAGGAGGTAGACTGGGAGGACTAGGTAGTTGGAACCAAAACTCCCACTGAGGACAAAATATTAAAAACATTCTTAAGGCATCAGTGGACAGGGAGGCCTGGCGTGCTGCAGTCCATGCGGTGGCAAAGAGTCAGACACGACTGAGCAACTGAACTGGACTGAAGGCATCAAAGAGTTAACAACAACAGCAACAACAAAAAGAGTGAGGCAAGACATGCGAAAGGTTAAGATGCAGAGACGTAAGCCCAGTGTTCAGACCTCCTCTTGCACTTAGGATATTTGCTAATCTGGAAAAAATAGTTGTGAAACAGATCTATGCTTCTGGCAGCCTTGCAGGATTCAGGAGACAAAGGTCAAAGTCTGCGCCCTACAGAAGTGGAGACTCTGAGAAACCGCTGACTTTAGCAGAGGCCCCTAAAGGTGAATAGGAAGTAAACCTACACCTTATTTGGATTTGCAGGCCAATGCCAAGTCATCTCAGAAGTCCAAGGAGCTTCAAGTCTTGAAATTGGATTCAGTGGTTCTAGATTGATAAAGGCCCGCACCGGCCTGGCTGTTGCAAACAAAATCCCCTTTGAAGGAAAGATTATTCTTAATCTCAAATTATTCTCGCACCTATTTGTCGAACACACTATCCAGCACACAATCGAAGCAGTCACACACAGATATAAGACTTTAAGAAGAGGCAGAAGCTGGGACTTCCCTGGAGGTCCACTGGTTAAGAATATGCCTGCCAATGCAGGGGAAGTAGGTTCTATCCCTGGTCCAGGAAGATCCCACATGCCTTGGACCAACTAAGCCCATAAGACACAACTACTGAGCCCGAGCTCTAGGGCCCATGTGATTCACCTACTGAACCCACGTGCTGCAGCTACTGAGGCCCATGTGCTGGGAGCCTTGTTCTGCAACTAGAGAAACCACCTCAAGGAGAAGCCCTCACACCACAGTGAAGGGTAGCCCCTACTCACCATAACTAGAGAAAGCCCAGGAACAGCAACAAAGACCCAGTGCAGCCAAACACAAATAGAATTAATGAATTCATGAGGAAGAGGCAGAGACAGTACACAACAGAAACAGTCTTGACTTGAGATACTGAAATTATTAGACACACTCTCTAAAACAACTATGTTTACTGGTGTTGAAAGAATTAAAGGACAAACTGAAAAATTTCAGCAAGGGCCCCAAAAGCTGTGAAAAGTGGCAAAGCAGATTTTAAAAAGCACCAAGGAGAATTTCTAGGACTGATAAATGAAATGTTAAAAGCCAAGAACTTAATAACCATGTGAAATAGCAAATGAGATACAACTCAAGAGAGAATTAGTAAAGTGGAAGATAAGTTAGAAAAAAGTATTCAGAAAGTAATATGAAAAAGCAAAAGGATGAAAAAGTACACAATAGACAGTATAATACATAGTAAGAAGAAAGAGCATATGATTAAAAGGCATCTCAGAAGGTGAGGAAACAGGGAACAATGCAGAGGCCATATTTTGAGAGATAATGTTGGAGAATTTCCCAGAAAAATCCCAGGCCACAGATTCAAGAATCCAGAATCTTGCTTGAATGTCAAGCAAGAAAGATAAAAATAAATCCAAACTCTAGGGTATCAAGGTAAACCTCAGAAAAAATCGGGGAAAAGAGAGGTAGGTTGGGCCCTGATTGAGAAAGGCTGTGGGTGATAAACTCGGGAAGTTGAACTCTATCCTGAAAAGTTTTCATTACTGGGACGACAAGGTCATATTTAGGATTCCGAAGGGTCACTCTGGCCACAGAATGAGTCATTACTGAGATGGGAACTCAAAAGAAAGGAGGGAGGCCAGCTTGGAGGCTATTGTCAAGGTCAAAGTCAAAAATGATACATGTCTAGATGAAGACAGTGGCAGTGAGGGGAAACAGAAACAACAAATACCCAAGAGGTGGAATCAAGAAGGACTTGGTGACTAATTTGATGTGGGAGTGCAGGAGAGAGATTTGTGGTAGAAGGACTGTCTTTCTACCCCCTTGCCATATCTGTGCCCTTTGCAATACAGTCTTGCAATACTTCCCATCAAGAAGTGGAATCTGTTTTCTCTCCCCTGGAATCTGAGCTGGCACTGTGACTTTCTTTGTCTAACAGAACACAGGAGAAGTGATGTGCCAGTCCCTAGCCTTGGCCTGAAAAGGCCTGCATGTTTCCACTCGCTCTCTCAGACCTGCCCCTGCTCTGGAAAGTCCAGCCTATCCATAGGAGGATAAGAGATGTGTGGTCCATCCCAAGCTCATCTAGACTAGCCCACCAACCTCCAGAGTACAGCCATCCTGCTGGTCTATAAATCAGGGAGCCCAGCCAAGATCAGAAGCATTGCCCAGCGAACCTCAGAGTAAACTGCCGATCTTCAGAATCATGAGTTAAATAAACAGCTGTTCTTTTAAGCTACAAACTGTTGGAATGGCTTGTTACATAGCAAGAGTTAACTGATTAAGAGTCGTGATTAGTGGTGGTATTTTCCAAGTTGGGGAATACAGCAGGAGGCTTGAATGGATGGATGGATGGTTCTCCCATAATACTGGAAGCCAAAAATTTAAAAACTATTATTTAGGACTTCCCTGGGGGTATGGTGGATAAGAAACTGCCTGCCAATGCAGGGGACACAGGTTCGATCCCTGGTCTGGGAAGATTCCACATGGTACAGAGCGACTAAGCCCATGAGCCATAAGTACCGAGCTTGAGTGCTGCAACTACTGAAGCCCGCACACCTAGAGTTCACGCTCCACAGGAGAAACCACTGCAATGAGAAGCCCTCACTCGCTGCAAATGGAGAAGGCCCACGCACAGCCATAAGTAAATAAATATATCTTTAAAAAAAACTATTATTTATACATAAGCCATAACAGCTCATAAGCTAGGTATGTGCCTTTTTTTTTTTTTTTTTTTGAGAACTCTCTGGCAGCAAACACATCTTTGGGGGGCAAATCTTCTGATAAAAGGGGCTGTTCCTTGGGCACAAACCTGTAGCTTTGTTTCTCTGGTCCTCAAGTCCTCAGCAGTGGAAGTTTTCATGGCGATGATTCTAACCAGCTTGGAATTTTCCTCCTGCAACCAGCGCTCAAAGTTCCTCAGGGACTGGGAGTAACCCTCAAGGCTGCCTCCTTCCTCCTGGAGCAGACCTGCCTGCAGGAAGGCACAGCATGGTCAGAGCATCAGAGTTTCTGAAAACAGCCCACTGGCCATGTGTCCTGGGGATTGCATCTGAGCAGAGGGTGGGGGATGAGGATGCCCAGAGGGAGATAAGAGGCACCTGAGGGGTGAGGGGATGAGGAAAGCATCTCTACTCAATGTAGACATAATTAGGGACCAAGAACATTCCTCACTGTCACCTCTTTGGTCTCCTGAAGGCTACCAGCATCATCCCTTATCAGGGATGTGATCACTACAATGTGATCACCTTCTGCCACTTTGTCCCTCTCCAGGTTAGGCGGCCAGAGAGATCTGCCTAAGATGCAAGTCCAGGGACTTCCCTGGCGGTCCAGTGGTTAAGAATCCACCTGTCGATTCAGGGACCCAGGTCCGATCGCTAGTCTGGGAACTAAGATCCCATATGCCACAGGGCAACTAAGCCATGAGCCGCAACTGCCAGAGCCTCGGCCCTAGAGCCCTCGAGCTGCAGCTACTGAGCCCACATGCCCTGGAGCCTGTGCTCTGCAACAAGAGAAGCTGCCCCAGGGCGAGACCCGCACACTGCAGGAAGAGTTGGCCCCGCTTGCCACAACTAGAGAAAGCCCGCGCATGGCAATGAAGAGCCCATGCGCTGCAGCAAAGACCCAGTGAAGCCAACGATTAAAAAATAAACAAAAATAAAAACAATAAATGCATAAAAGGCAAGTCCACTCAGCCACGCCATCACTTACACAGTTGAGTGGCTTCTCACACTCCATGCGGCTGGAGAGCCTCAGATTCCGGCCCTGCCTGGCTCTGCGGCTCTTGCTGCCTGCCCCATGGTCTGAGCCGGGGCCCGCAGACATCTAGCCCCTGGCATTAGAGCTGTCTCCCTCGGGTCTTTCACGCACAGTCTCCTCTGCATGGAACACACTCCGTTCCGCCTCTCCTTGGCTCCCACTCGGCGTGAGGAGCCCTGGACATCTCATTTTTATCTCTCCAGGGAGGGCTTCGCTACCCCAGGTCCTTCACTCTGCAGGAGGCTGCCATGGCCTCTGGGTCTCCTGCCTCCTTGAACACATGTTCTGTAAACCCTTATTCTATCACCTTGCGGCTCCTGCTTCCCTGCTCCTCAAAATGTGCTCCAAGGCCTGGCAGGCTTAGCATCATCTAGGAGCTTGTAGAAACGCAGGGTGAGGGGTCCCAGTCCTGATCTACTGAATCTGCAGTTTGGTACGATCCATATGCACATGACCATCTGAAAAGCTGTGTTGGACGCTACATTCTCTGAGGGTTGGAAGGATCTCTGTTTTATTTACAGCTGTGTCCCAGCTCCAAGCACAGTTCTCAGAACACAGAAAGACTCAGTAAGAGCTTTCTGGATGGGGAAATGGAAGAAGGAATGGAAGAATGAATTAATTCATGTGCTGTCTTTGAAGAACAAGGAATGAATTTCATCTCATTGAGTTTCTGCTTTTTTAAGCCTGTCGAGGAGAGGGATGGATGATTTGATATAGCGAGGTTCATTCTTTTTACAAAATGTAGTTTGTGTGTGCTGTGTGTTACTCGTTCAGTCGTGTCCAATTCTTTGCGAACCCATGGACTGGAGCCCGCCAGGCTCCTCTGTCCATGGGGTTCTCCAGGCAAGAATATTAGAGTGGGTTGCCATTCCCTTCTCTAGGGAGTCTTTCCAACCTAGGGATCAAAGTCAGGTCCTCGGCATTGCAGGCAGATTGTTAACCATCTGAACCACCAGGGCACCAAAAATACCTATCTTGCGTACTTTTAGTTTGCAGTCTAGCGCCGCTAGGAAGCTTCACACCCTGACTCTCTTCCCTGCAAGGGAAGCAGTCGGATTTTCTGACGGTGAGGGCCTGCCTGCCCAAGAGATGCCCAGGACCTTCCTCAGTGCAGACCCCTGGGTCTGGGGTCCCAGCATCTCTCTGTCCGGTGGCACAGGGCACTCTTGTGTCACCACTGGGCACACCTGAGAAAGGACAGGGCCCAGTCCTGAGCTGAGCATGTGGCCCCAGGTGGGGAGGGGGCTTTGCTGGTGACACCTTCCCACCATCAACTGACTCGGATCTGGGCCCTCCTCAGAAGCCCATGAGATGGACTTACCTGACGGCGATGCCGGGAAGTAAGATCTGTGGGGAGGATGAGAAATCCAGTCTTTGGGATGTTGTTGGTGAAAATCATTTTCTTCCCTGAATCCACTTCTGTCATCCTCTGCAGCTGCTGGTTTCTGATCAGGCTGAGAAGTCAAATCAGCCCAGTCAACGTGAGGATGAGATGGGGATGTCCCGGATCATGGGAGAAGTAACAGAACTGGGGAGGGAGGTGACTTCTGGTCCTCACAAGCCCGTGCCTGTCCTTCAGGTTGGTCAGAAGCTCCCAGGGCACCTGTATTTCCAGTTCCTTGCTTCAGACTCATGTTACCGTCATCAAGGTGTATATATCTTCCAATGCAGATGAGGCCCAAGCCAGGAGGGGCTGGAGGCTAAGCTGGGACGTTTCCCTGCTCTTACTGACTCTACTTAGAATTGCCTGGGGATGCCCGGAGGCGCCTGGCACCATGACTGGCACACAGCAGAACCCTAGCCATATGTTCTAGGAACATGACTGAGCTCTCCCTGCTGGGAAGGAGGGTTGTCTGAGACCAGGCTCCAATCTAGAAGGCCCTCTCACCTCAACAGGCTCTCCTCCAGCTGCCTCAAGGCCTTCCATGACTCGGTCAGCTCCTCCAGCTCCCCCTGGACCACAGCAGCCCCCTCCAGAGAAGACGCCTCCATCACCAGCCGGCCGAGTGCTTCCATCACGGGCAGCTGGGCTTCTTTCTCCGGGAATTCAGCCAGCAGCCTCTAAAGGACACACAAACACACACACACACACATACACACACACACACACAAAGTTAAGTCCTGGGGTGGTGGGGTGTCTGCTCCCTAGTACGAGAGCACCGTTTACCACCCTCCGTCCCCGAACCTGCCTTTGGGATGCAAGGGAGAGAATAAGCATCTCTGTGGGGAGATTCATCTTACCTCAACCTCAGCCTCCCGAGACTGGGCATCCCATGGGGCCGTGTCCCCACAGTGGGCCTCCAGCTTCTGTGTGATCACAGAGATCCACTGCCGCAGCTTCAGCAGCTCATGGTTGAAGGTGCAATGTTCCCGCAGGCTCTGTTGGCGTCCTTCCAGGAGGTCCTGTGGAACAGCCCCGGGGGAGCCAGGCTGAAACCCTCAGCTATCCTACTCTGCAGGACCCTCAGCCCTGCCAGAGCCCCGGGGTGAGATGGCCCCCAGGACTCTCCAGCCAGCGAGGAACATGAGAGGTTGATCTTCTCTTCTGCATAGCGCAAGGAATTGACTCCAGAAAGACCAAGTCTGGTTTAAAGTGCCTCTAAGCCTGTTCTGCTTTTATGGGAAGTACTAAGTCTGGGTGAGGGTGCAGGCAATGGATGCTCTCATCCACCACCAGTGTGGGGTGTAAACTGATACAACCACTTGGGAAGACTGTCAGTCGGCGCCTACTAAAGCTGAACACAGGCATCTGTGTGGCACAACCGTTTCACCCCTGCGTGTAACACAACAGGCGTGGACTTCACTTTGCAGCTGAATAGACTGGGTATATTTTGACCGCCTCCTATGTCTTTGGCCATCTAGAAGCACTTACTTTATTGAAAAGCATTCTTTTATTTTTTCACTGGTGTATGGCTGAATAGGAAATCAACTCTGACTATTCATTGGCAGGACTGATGCTGAAGCTGAAGCTCCAATACTTTGGCCACCTGATGCAAAGAGCCCATTCATTGGAAAAGACCCTGATGCTGGGAAAGACTGAAGGTAAGAGGAGAAGGGGGCGACAGAGGATGAGATGGTTGGATGGCATCATTGACTTAATGCACAGGAGTTTGAGTAAACTCTGGGAGATAGTGGGGGACAGGGGAGCCTGGCGTGCTGCAGTCCATGGGATGAACAACAACAATGTTGATTTACAATGTTTCAGGTGTACAGCCATGTGATTTCATTAAATTTCTATCAATATAAATATGCATACATCTATATAGATATCTGCATATATATTTTCTTTTTCAGAGTCCTTTTCCATTATAGGTTCTTATTAAGATTATTTTCTTATAATTTGTTTGCTTTTACCTCTTTTTGATGACAGAAAAAGCATTATATTAAATCTGTAAATCGTGTGGGTAATTTGTACTATCTATGAATTTCAGGATTGCAAAGACAATGTCAGAAATATTTGTTCTTAAAATAGGGCACATAGGGTCCGGAAGGGTGGAAAATCCTGCCTCAAACGAAACGCTTTCCTGAGCTGAGGCTGCCTGAGAGCGGGCTTTGCACACCTGGGGCTCTTGTTACAAATGCAGACCCAGGACTTCACCTGAATCAGCGTCGTCAGGGTAGGGCTGGAACAGGCATTTCACCTTGTCCTCAGGACAGTTTTGAAGGAGCCATCCCACTACCCACACCACCTTGCGGTCCCACCATTAAAGGGACATCATCCGTCCAGCACAGACACAAGAAGGATCCAGGGGCCACCAGAGGGCGCTGCAGACAGAGCTCACGGCCACCAGGACCCAACTTGCAACCAGGCATGAACGCAGCATCACCACGGGGACTCCTGCGTGGGTGCGGCCTGGTCGGTGCTCTGGTCCATGTGCAGAATTGTATGTTTCACTTGTGGACGCATATGTCTGACATGCGGAATCGCATGTTTAACTTGTTGCTGACTCGTTGTCCGTCTACCCATCGGCACTTAAACTCCAGGAAGGCAGGGGCCTCCCTGTCCTGCTCACGCCGCCTCCATTCTCAGGACCCAGCATCCTGCCTGGCATACAGGAGGCGCTCAACCATGAAGAAAGGAAGGGAGGACGAAAAAGAAGGCTTGGAAGGAACGAAGGAAGAAAAGGAGAAAGTCTTCAGGAGGGTCAGACAGATTCCAGGGACCTGGTCTCTGTTAACACAGACCCTCTCCTGGCCCCTTACCTCCAGAGACCTCTGCAGGGCCTGGTGGTTGGCGGAAAGCTGGTCCATTTTGTGCTGGTGGTTAGGGTTCCCCTGGAAGAGGGGTCTCATGGCCTCCACCTGAGACCCCAGGTCCATCCCCTCCTCCTGCAGCCCCTGCAGGAGAGGAAGGAATGAGTGGAGCATCCTTTCTCCTTCTTCTCGTAGAGGATGATCAGGGTGGGGACCCCGAATGTGAAAGACTGGGAGGACTCAGGGATGGCGGGACTCCCCGACTCCATCGGCCACACCACACGGCTGTCTGATGGGCCCACTCTTAGGACTGGTGAGAATTTTTTTAATGATATGAAAATATTCTGCGACACCATGAAAATAAACTGCTAAAGACCAGAAGGTCTCTGTCGCTGGGGGACAGACTCATGTCTGGACTCCTACTTGATGACCACCTCTTCTTATGGAGAATCGCATCTCAGCTTTAGTTTTAAAGCCCCGAAATGCGTCATTTTTAATACCTTCCAAAGAACACTCCCAGTTATGTATGAGCTGTGCCTGGGATTTAAAAAGATAACTGTTGTTTCATGTGCATTTTAAAAACCAGCAAGCTCCTCACCCAGCCAACAATGATTCATGATCAGCCTACCTACAGTCCATGTGTTTTAAAATATTTATTCTTAATCCTCAAATCACTTATTTAACTGAAGGCCTCTGGCCTCATTAGGAGCACTTAGCAAAGTAACTTTAGAAGCAAATATTCATGTTAGACTTTAGGACCACAGAGTAAGCAAAGAGCTTATCATTTTGTTGGGCTCAAGTATCAGCCATTTCGAGGTGCTAAAGGCCTTGTCGAGGCCAGGAACCATCAGGCATACCAGCAGAAATTCAGCTGAGATGAAATGTCAGATCTCAGGGGCCCAGGGGGAATCACAATCTCTGGCTTGGGCTTACTGATGCTTGGCTGGCCACTATTACTGCAAGAGGGCTGCTTCCCGCACAGCTGAACATCTGAGTGGAGGTGACTCGGGCCAGACAGACCTCTTACCTGCAACCTCAGAAGCTGGGCCTGTTTCTCAGGAAGGTCCCGCCGAAGCCCATTCTCGGCTTGGACCCGGATTTGGAGGTCTGAGAGCTTTTTCTGCAAAGGCTCGAAAGTCGCCCCAAAATCTTTGTGCTGAGCGAGTAAGCTCTGCAGAGACACAACAGGCCGCACACAACTCAGCTTCCCCTCGGTCTCCCTGTGGCACAATCTGACACTCACAGACTGGCTGCTTTTTCTCCAGTCTTCTCCTGGCTGGCTCCTACTCACTCAGGAACCACCCCCTCCAAGAAGCCTTCCTGGAGTTCTTGAGGGGATCTGATGCCCCTCCGTGAGGATCACTGTGTCCTCACCTAACAATTGTTCTGCTTCTAGAATAGGCGCTGGCAAACTGCATCTCCTACCACATATCCCAAGTCCCACCAGAGGCCTGTGCTTGTAAATAAAGTTTTATTGACATGCAGTCATGCCAATTCATTTACAGTTGATTTCTTGCTACAGCAGCAGAGCTCAGAAGCTGCAAGAGAGATCATAGGCCTTGCAGACCCTAAAATGTGTGCTCAATATCTGCTCCGTTGACTAAATCAGACCATGGGTGTGGGGATTTCAGCAGGTGCCTGGCCTCTGGACAGTGTCCTAGAGCTATCGCTTCGTCACTATCATCATTCTCAGATGCTTAGCAAATAATTGTTACCTAAAAGAAGAAACTGTCCACAACATCCCATCTTATGTCTTTGATTTTGTGCGGCCATTCAGAAGTGTCCCTAATAAAACTATTAATAGCTTCCCTGAATATTCTTTGGAAGGACTGATACTGAAGCTCCAATACTTTAGCCACCTGATGCAAAGAGCTAACTCACTGGAAAAGACCCTGATGCTGGGAAAGATTGAAGGCAGAAGGAGAAGGGGGTGACAGAGGATGGGACGGTTGGATGGCATCAGGACTCAATGGATGTCAGTTTGAGCAAGCTCCAGGTGAAGGACAGGGAAGCCTGGTGTGCTGCAGTCCACGGGGTTGCAAAGAGTCAGACACGACTGAGCAACTGAACAACAATAACAACAAAAATAGCTTCCAGCTCTCTGCTGCTTTAAAGTTTACAAGTGTTTTTCTCTGCATCTTCCCAGCTAACTGCCCCCCAGCTCTCTGCAGAAGACAGTTTGATTTGATGAGTGCAGAAGAGGGTTTGGGGGCAGAGGCAGGAGGCAGACAGATGAGAAGGATCCCACCATAATCCTACCCAGATGATCTAGATGAGGGCTCTGAGGTTGTATGGAGCAAAGGATATGCCTAGGGCCACGCGGTGGCGAGTGGCAGGGCTGGGGTCAGGACACAGGGCTGTGCCCGCAGGGGTGCTGAGCTGAGGGCCAAGACGAGGCTCACCTGCAGTTTGCTCTTCCTCTGCAGAAGGCGGTTGTGCAGCAAGTCTCTGTCCCTCACAGACGTCGCCACCTGCTCCAGCAGGGCTGTGGCTCTCTCTGGGCCGAAGATGCTGCCCAGCAGGTCTTTCTTCAGCTGCAGCATCGTCAGCTGCTCCTTCAGGCGGGAGCTCTCCATCAGGGCCGCCTGGGGGAGACAAGGCTTCTGTGAACGGGAGAGCAGGATGAAGCTGGGGCAGGAACGCACCCATTCTGGCTGCACCCGCCCGGGAGGCTGGGCCTCTGTGCTGGTGGCCGAGGAAGCAGTGAGTGCAAGGAGAAACAGGCAGGTGGGAAGGTGGCGGGAGGCCCTAAATGTCAGAGTCAGTCTGATCCCCTTCTCACCCCTCACATCCACCTTGTTACCAATCCCGATCAAGAAGGCTGCCTCCTACAAGAGTCAGAAATCTCTCTCTGCTCCATTGCTCCCACTGACCGTGGTGCACCCTCAGACCTGCTCACTTGGACCCCTGCAGCTCCTGACCATCTGCTGCCTCCCAGTTGCCCCCAAGATCGACTCTGCACGTTGCAGCCAAACCCAAACTGAACCAGTCTGATCCTCTACTCAATGATTCTCCATCACCGACAACAGAGTGCCATCCCCAAGTTGGTGTGCTGGACATTTTGAATACCAGACCACCTCATCTGTCTCCTGAGAAACCTGAATGTGGGTCAAGAAGCAACAGTCAGAACCTTACATGGAACAAATGACTGGTTCAACACTGGGAAAGGAGTGTGTCAAAGCTGTAGATCGTCACCCTGTTTATTTAACTTATATGCAGAGTACATCATGCGAAATCCTGGGCTGGATAAATCACAAGCTGGAATCAAGACTGCCAGGAGAAATGTCAACCAGCTCAGATATGCATATGATACCACTCTAATGGCAGAAAGTGAAGACAAATGAAAAAGCTGCTTGATGAGAGTGAAAGAGGAGAGTGAAAAAACTGACTTAAAACTCAATGTTAAAAAAACTAAAATCATGGCATCTGGTCCCATCACTTCATGGCAAATAGAAGGGGAAAATGTGGAAGCAGTGATAGATTTTGTTCTCTTGGGCTCCAAAATCACTGTGGACAGTGACTGCCACCATGAACTTAAAAGACATTTGCTCCTTAGAAGAAAAGCTATTACAAACCTGGACAGCATATTAAAAAGCAGAGACATCACTTTGCCGACAGAAGTCCATATAGTCAAAGCTACGGTATTTCCAGGAGTCATGTATGGTTGTGAGAGCTGGACCATAAAGAAGACTGAGCGCCAAAGAATTGATGCTGTCGAATTGTAGTGTTAGAGAAGAGTCTTGAGTGTCCCTTGGACAGCAAGATCAAACCAGTCAGTCCTAAAGGAAATCAACCCTGATTATTCATTGGAAGGACTGATGCTGAAGTTGAAGCTCCAATACTTTAGCCACCTGATGAGAAGAGCTGACTCACTGGAAAAGACCCTGATGCTGAGAAAGATTGAAGGTAGGAGGAGAAGAGAGTGACAGGGGATGAGATGGTTAGATGGCATCACTGAGACAATGGACATAAGTTTGAGCAAATTCCGGGAGATAGTGAAGGACAGGGAAGCCTGGCGTGCTGCAGCCCATGGGGTCGCAAAGAGTCGGACACAATTCAGCAACTGAATAACAACAAAAGTGCCTAGGGGAGCATGATCAGAGGGAATTCAGGAAGGCCTCCCAGGGGAGGTGGCATCTCAGTGGGGTCGTGATGTGCAGGAGCTCATGGGGCAGAGAGAGGACCAACAGGGAACTCCGAAGCCTCGTGTAACGGTCAGCCGGCTCCCATGCAAGTAGCCTGAACTCTGCACAGCCCAGGCCCCACCTCCTGCAGGAAGCCTGCCCTGATCACATTCCCAGCTGACACTCACTCTTCCTGCCCCAGAGCCTTTTGCCCAACTTCAGGGTCCTGTTGATCAAACCAGCTCTTGGAGGTAAACATGTCTTGCTTCTCTCACCGAGGGCTCAGGAGCCTGGAGGCCAGGGGTTTTGTCTTCAGCTGGCCAGAGGCCTTGCACTTGATATCTGATGATGTTACAGAGATGCTGAGCTGGGCATGCGGCTGGGAGAGGAAGAAGTAAGACCACAGCCCAGGTAGGTGACCTGCTGATGATGGTATGTAGCTTGTGATCAGCCACATAGAGGCCAAGCCTCTTGAGGTAGGCAGCCACCTTCATTTCCTTTTTGCTGGACTCAGACACAATATCACGAGGGTGAAAAATTCAGGCTGGAGAGCTGCAATCCTCAGTCTGGATCACACAATGACTGGAGTGGAGGAAGAAATGGCCACCCATGCCAGTATTCTTGGCCTAGGAAACCCCATGGACAGAGCCTGGTGGGCTACAGTCCCTGGGGTCCCAAGAGTTGGACACGACTTAGTGACTAAACCACCGCCACCACTGACCGGGAGAACCTGGGTAATCCCCAAGCCTCAGTTTCCTCATTGGTAAATGACCAACAGGCACATCCCAGGTCGTGGGGCTGTCACGAGGCTTAAATGCCTAAAAAGCATTGAACACAGTGCAGGACCCTCACTGAACACACAAGAAAAGATAGATCTTCTCAGCCATTATTATTTAACCAGCTGTTCTGGGTTGAATTGTGACCTTCAAAAAAGAAATGGCGGTGGGCGGGGGGGCAGGTATGGTCAAGTCTCAACTCCACTGCCTTAGAATGCAAGGTATTCTTTGCAAGGTATTCTCTTCTTTGGAGAGAGGGGCTTTACAGAGGCAATCGAGTTAAAACGATGTCATTGATTGGTGCCCTTACAGAAAGGGAAGACTTAGACCCAGATGCATTCACAGAGGGAAGAGGTTGTGGAGATCTTTAGGAGGAGGATGGTCACATGATGACAGAGGCAGAGATCAGAGTGGTGGACCTACAAGGCAATGAAGGTCAGCAACTGGCAGGGAACCTCAGAAGCTAGAAGAGGCAAGGGAGGAGTCTCCCCTAGAACCACTGGAGACAACAGGAGCCTCTTGACACGCCAACTTTGGACTTCCAGCTTCCAGAACTTTAAGAGAATGAAGTTCTGTTGTTGTTTTTATTTTAAAGCACCAGTTTTTGGTGCTTTGTAACAGCAGCCCCAGGGAACTAACACACCAGCCATGCCCAGCTTTTGGCCGGAGCTCTGCTGATCCACAGGGCTTCCCTGGTGGCTCAGATGGAAAAGAATATACCTGCAAGGCAGGAGACCTGGGTTCCATCCCTGAATCGGGAAGATCCCCTGGACAAGGGAATGGCTACCCACTCCAGTATTCTTGCCCGGAGAATTCCATGGACAGAGGAGCTGGGAGGGCTACAGTCCATGGGGTGGCAAAGAGTCAGACACGATGGAGTGACTAACACTTTCACTTTCAATCCACAAGCCGCTCTGAGGCTAGATGCAGAAGCTGAGTCGAGAAAAGAGAGGGACTGCTAGAGACAACCCTAGCAGTCCAGTGATTGAGACTCTACACTCCCAGTGCTGAGGGTATGGGTTCAATTCCTGGCTGGGGAACTAGGACCCCACATGCCGCATGGTGTGGCCAAAAAAGAGAGGGCTGGCAGCTTGAACCCTGACCTGTGAAATCCCTTCTGCCCAGTCGGGCCGGTGGGAGTGATGCAAGACACATTCCCAACCAGCAAACAAACTCCAAAGGTGAATAAGCCAAAGTCCTGCCCCCACGTGTTCCAACCCACTGCTCAGTGAAAGTCCTGCCGGGGGAGTCCTGGGTCACACTCTAGAATGACAGGACCTCTCTCCTGCCTCAAGAAGGTCCCAGTTTGCTTTCTGCCCCAGTGGGAAGGATAGGAGGAAATATCCTGACACAGCAGGGAGGGTTAGACAGGCCTGGGTCAAAGCCAGCCCTGTCACTTAATGCTTGCGTTAACCTCAAGCAAGTGGCTCCTCAACAGTCAAATGATAAGAATCGTTCTGCTTGTTTTGCAAAGCTGTTTGCAGAAGCCAAAGTGAAAACAGGGCTGAGAACATTAGCCAAGACTCTATGACCCACCATTCTGGCCCCAGCTCTGCTTCTCTTGAGCAGCCAGACCTTGAACAGATTCTCTCACTTCTCCCTGGCCCAGATCCCTCATCAGTAAAATAAGGAGAATGGTAGCAACGGAAATAAAAATCAGTGTACATACATAAATGTATATTCACTATGACAATGAAAATTGCAAACAACTTCAACAATCTAATTGTGGCTACTTAAATAAATAAATAAATAAATAAGGGCATGCCCCCAAATGGAATATTCTGCATCCATTTAAAGTGATTTATTGAGCCATGCTATTGAACCATTTTAAAGGATGGTGAGAAAAAGCTCAGATGTGTCAACTGAAAATATCAGGACATACAGCCATATATCATGAGCCCAATACACCAGTGAGGATGCACGCCGGCAATGCTGGCAGCCACCCTGGGACCATGAAGGCAGATGCAGTTTAGAGCTGGAAAGAGCTGGGTTCTAGAAGATACCGCTGAGCTATCAGGCCAGCTCTGGGACCAGCAGAAAGTCTCTGTGCTTTCACTCAACCCTGCCCGGTTTTCTGCCACTTGTCACTTGCATCCCAACTGGTACACAGTAAAGGTAGCAGCCTGGCATCCTCAGACTTCCAGCGGAGCACTGTCTGCAGCAGGGTCAGGAAGAGGACGGGCGTGGGCAGGTCACGGCAGAGCCCTGGGGCCACACCAGGAACCAGGCTTCGCCTTCCCTCCAAGAACTCAGGGTGACTTTTGTCCCTGATAATTACAAGTGTGCTCTTGGGACTCACCGGACTGCTACAAGGAGCTCTACCCAGATACCCGGAGGCCTAAGAGATACGTCCTTCCCTGCGGGGGTGGCCGAAATGCCACGCTTGGCCGGCAGTCTCCCCCAGGGGCACCCACCATCCCTCCCGACAGAACCAGGCTTACCTCGATCTGCGGCAGGAAGGTGTGGATGGAGGGCGGGTCTGGCAGGCTGGCGGTGACATCCAGGAGTCTCTGGGCCAGCTCCCTCCACAGCTGCAGGTCCTGGAGGTGCCGCTGGAAACGCTGCCATAGCTCCGTGGCTGCGGCATTGCGCAGTCTGCTGCTCTTGGCCTTCATTCTGTGAGCACAGAGGAGGGGGCACCGAGAGAGGAGAAAGTGGGTCAATCCAGGGGCAAGGCCTCCCCCCGGGCCCCCAGAGCACCCGTGTACATAGCACCTTCCTATTCCATAGACTGCCGGGGTGTCCAGGGGACCCTGAGGCCCAGGCGTTTCAGATAAAAGTGCACTGGAGGTAAGCCAGGCCTTCAAAAGACTTGCAGCCCAGCTTCCAGACCAGGGAAAGAAACAAGCCTCAAAAAGGATATGTGGAAGCCTCAGACTCAAGACTGCCTGCCCCCAACACCTCACAAAAGCAAACAAAATCCCTTCTTGAGTAAGATGCCGTTACACCAGGCCCAAATAATTCCTACAGATAATTTTTCAAATATAATGCCCATTGTGTAGCACAGGGAACTATATTCAATAACTTGTAATAGTCTGCAACGAGAACAATCTGAAAAAGGATAGATATATATGTGTACCTGAATCACTTAGCTGTACCCCTGGAAACTAACAAAATACTACAAATCAACTACACGTGCCATGCACACTAAGTCGCTTCAGTTGTACCTAACTCTTGGCAACCCTATGGACTGTACCTCGCCAGGCTCCTCTGTCCATGGGATTCTCCAGGCAAGAAAACTGAAGTGGGTTGCAGAACCCTCCTCCAGGGGATCTTTCTGACCCAGGGATCGAACCTGTATCTCCTGCATTGCAGGTGGATTCTTTCCCACTAGCACCACCTGGAAAGCCCGTATGTATATACATAAGTATATATAGAATGTCTAGCACCCAGTCATAGATAACCAGCACCTGCCCCCTCAACAAGAGCAGCGAAGGAGAGGGAGACCTCAGCCACCCTGTCCCCCTGCCCACTAGCACCCTGGGGGCAACGAGGTCCCAGCTCTGGATGTACAGAAGGGTGGCCTGTTAACACTGTCGGGGGAGAGACACCCAGCAAGGCAGGGGCTCCCTGAGTTCCTTCTCGAGGAACCTCCTGCATCGGACAGGGGGGATGAGGATGCTACAGAGACAGGGGTGCTTCTCAGGTGGCTCAGTGGTAAAAAAAAAAAAAAAAAAAAAAAACACCTGCCAATGCAGAAGTTTCGAGTTCGTCCCTGGGTGGGGAAGATCCCTTCAGAAGGAAGCGGCAACCTACTTCAGTATTCCTGCCTGGGAAACCCCACGGACAGAGGAGGCTGGCGGGCTACAGTCCACAGGGTCGCAAAGAGTCAGACATGACTAAGCAACTAAAACAGCACAGAAATGGGGATGGTTGGGCTGTGTTCCAAACCCCTCTGAGCCTCACGTAGTAAAAACAGGCACCGATTCCAAATTCAAACTGTGCCCAGTGCCACACAGGGTGGATATTTGATCCGCTGGTCTTTGTTGAGCTAAGAGGCTTGAGCCCCGACTGTGCCCAAGCCCATGGGCTGAGGGGAGGTAGAAGCTGGCCTGAAGTCAGGTCCAGGTGCTTCCATCAGCATCGCCAGCAGGTGGGGGCACGATGCTGGCCTAGTGAAAAGCCCTCCCCTTGGACCATTACATAGGAGACCCGTCTCTGGTGCAAAGTTGCATAGGGAGACTGAATGGAAATGAGTGAAAAGGCCACTTAGCACAGGGAAAAGTAAAGTTCAGGTCTCTTTCTGGAACACAGAATGCAAAATATTACAGAAAGGGGTCAGCACCTGAGCCCGGGGAGACCCTATAACAGCCAGTCATTGAGAGGAGCAAGAATTACTGGTTATCAGGCAGCTAGAAGGCACAAGCCCACTGCAGCTGGTGTCAGACGGGCAGAGGCCCCTGAGCGTGCGGTCCAGGCCTGCCCTCGGCCCGCCCGGTACCTCTGGTATTCCTGGATGGCCGCGACCACGCTGTCTGAGAGTGGCTGTGGGTCCTGGGGGAAGACGAGGAGCTCCTTCAGCTGGGCTTGCAGACGGTCCACCCGCGGCTCCTCGGCGGCCAGGGCGGCTCGGGTAGCCTGCAGCAACAGATGACGCCGAGGGGGTGGGTGAGGTTCTGAGACAGCAGGGGGCTGAATGTGGGCCTTGCAGGTGGGCCAGCCTGGGGAACACAGTCCCCAAGGGCGGTGACAGGGGCCCCGAGAGCTCGGTCCCTGCGCCCCCAGCTCCTGCTCTGTGACCCCAAATAACGCTGACTCTTGATGAGCGGGGTCTTTCTCTTTATCATCACCTACCTCACCATGTGGCCATGGACTGGCACCGAATCACACAGATATCTAACATCCAGGGAACCCGGACAATGTGCTCAGGGCTCTGGGGTCCCCTTCACTCAAGCCTCGCCATGATCCTGGAGGGCAGTTCTCTGCGTCTCCATTTTATACACAAGGAATCTCTGGCTAAGCGTTTTCTCACAGTTGCGGAGCTGGGAAACGGTGGACCTGATGTCGGAGCTGACCCCTCTGACACTTCCCACCTTATCTAAAGGAAAAAGTGATCTAAAGAAGCTTTGTGAGACTTCCCTGGTGGTCCAGTGGCTAAGACTCCACGCTCCCAATGAAGGGGAGCCTGGGTTCAATCCCTGTTCAGGGAACTAGATCCCACATGCTGAAATTAAAATAGAAAAAGATCCCGCATGCCACAACTACAAATAAATATTTTTTTAAAGGTGATTTGCGGATGCAGTTATTGTTGTCGGCAAGTCAACAGGATATTTCCACCCCGCAACTCCGAACCACGCCACTCAACCATTTGAGTGCATGCATGCTAAGGTGCTTTAGTCGTGTCTGACTCTTTGCGACGCTATGGACTGCAGCCTGCCAGGCTCCCCTGTCCATGGGATTCTCCAGGCAAGAATACTGGAGTGGGTTGCCATGTCCTCCTCCAGGGGCTCTTCCTGATCCAGGGATTGAACCCGAATCTCTGTGTCTCTCCAGCACTGGCAGACAGGTTCTTTACCACTAGCACCACCTGGGAAGCCCCGATCGCGTTTAGATGCAGCCTTTTCCTGCTGTCCCAGGAAGTGGGAGTCCCAGGAAGTCCCAGGAAGTCCCAGGAAGTGATGAGTTTCACCTTGACCCTGACTCTTGCAGGGTCCACACTCAGCAGGAGGCAGGGTGGAGAAGTGGAAAGCGAACGGGCTCTGGCAGGACACCGGCTGGCCTGAGAACCCACTTCCCGGCTGCCATGGTAACAGGGAGCCGCCACCATTGTCAGGCACCGACTACAGAGCAGGAGTGCTTCTTGCTACATAAGGGCTAGCTTACGAAGAAAAGTCCTCTCCTAAGTTCTGAAATTCCCTTTCACTGATTTCCAGTTAGTCATATCTTGGTCATAACTGACACCTGAATCAGGAGGGGCAGACAGCGCCTGTAGGAATGTATTCAGCCTCCTGCTTTGGGAAAGGCCTCCTGAATCATAGCCAGGCACAGGGCTCCCCTGGTAGCTCAGCTGGTAAAGAATCCCCCTGCAATGCCCTGGGTCGGGAAGATCCTCTGGAGAAGGGAACAGCTGCCCACTCCAGTATTCTGGCCTGGAGAATCCCATGGACAGAGGAGCCTAGCGGGCTATATAGTCCATGAGGTCGCAGTCAGACATGACTGAGCAGCTTGCACAGGCAGGTGACGGTCAGGACAGGGGAGTAGGTGACGGTCAGGACAGGGGAGTGTTGCCGGGGCTTTCCAGAACTTACTCTCCCCCCAACCTGCCGAGTTTGCACCTTTTGACCTTGTCCTTCACCTAGAGCTCCTAGTAAAAGCCGTACACTCCCTGAGTGCCGATCCTCTGCTGTTCTGAACACTCTTTGTCTTCACACATTCATGAGGAATGTGGGAGGCAGGTCCTGTTATCATCACGTCCACGTCACGTTTAACCGAGATTAAAGCAATTTTTCCCAAAGTCAGCGAGTTGGCAAGGAGAGAAGCCAAGATTTGAACCCGGGCAGTCTGATCCACAAGTCCTCGCCCTTCACCGCTGCACCACACCACCCCTGCCCTGTGACAAGGAGGACAATCCCACAGAGGATGCAATTCCCACCGTGGTACCAAGTTGACCCTTGAGGTGAATCGGGTCTCCTGCAAGGCTGAGTGATGCTAAAGTGTGTGTGTACATTGCTTCTATCTACACACACATATGTCTACATATTAGCAACATTAGAAGGAAGAGAAAAAAACAGAACAGTATGGAGTGGAGGTAAGGCCTGAGGGCTTTTCTTTTAGGTATTTCTCCTAATGGAACTGACGAGCTAGCCTGTTGATGTAGTGAGGAAAGAAAGGAGTGGTGTCAATCCTTATTTGAGAAATTTCTCTGTCCTCAAGCCAAACCTCTCGCGAGTGGGCACGAGGGTGGGGGCAGGGTGCTCCGACTGGATGTCGTGTCTGGGTTGGAACCCACTCCACCCTCCAGGACAGGCGTCGTCTGCTTGGCCTCTTCAGAGCTCCTGCTGTGTCTGCAGCTCATCTTCCCTACACTGAGAGCCTTCCCTCTGATGTCGCAGTCCCTGCTCTGTGCTCAGAAAGTGTCCCCCCACATCCTACTATCAGGCACAGGAATGGCAAACTTGGAGCCAACACACATATTTACCCACCAATTTACCATGTCATCTTGGGGATGGTGAGGGAAAAAAAATTATCTCTAGGCCTCAGTTTCCTCATCTGGAAAATGGGTACAAGCACTCAATTTTTCTACTATACTCAGGGAACTTAGATGATCCAAAATCAATAAAACCAGAACAAGTGTGCTTGAGACTTAGCATGATCTTTCCACTACATGGAGGAGCTCCAAGTGGAGATGCCTTGAGGCACACACAGCACCTGGATCGTCCTGTGGCGTCACCAAACTCTGCTTACCGAGTTGAGTCTCCAGCGGGCCACCAGCTCATCCTCGGTCGCTGCCTTGGCCGTGGTCCCCAGGCCCTCCTCCGCCAGTCTCTGAAGATCCTTCTTGAACTCTGCCAGCTTGGTCTCCAGCTGCCCCCTCTGCTGCTCGCAGGCTCCCTTGGACTTGACCAGGTCCCGCAACCTGCCCTCCTCCTCCTCCCAGAGCCCACGCAGCTTCTCCAGAACGTCCCGCATCTCTTCTAGGTCTCTGGTGATCTTCTCCGCACCCAGAGGAGAGGTGTTCTGGATGACCCCCACGGCCTGCTCCTCCAGCCTTTTCAAGGACTCCTCACCCTTAGGAAAATCACTGGCAATGCCCTAAAGCAGGGAGAGAATGGGGAAAAAAACATGAGGGGAAAAGGAAAACATTGGCTGCGTTTCCCAAGGCCCCTGGGAACATCATGCCAAGTGCTAATTCCTATTGCTGGGCTGGAGCCTGGGCACCTTTCCAAGGGTGGACTGTCTGCCTTTATGACATTAAGGATGTAATTCCCTTCCCATGTCATTTATAAGCTATTTGATTAAGTCAAAGGGAAAGTCTCTGTTGGGTACGTCTCTATTTTCAACACTCTCTGACATCTGTTAACCTTCCTATTTTATTTTAAATTTTTACGTATTTCTTTATTTTTGACTGCATCATGCAGCATGCAGGATCTTCGTTCACCGACCAGGGATGGAACCCATGCCTCCTGCATTGGGAGTGTGGAGTCTTTAACCAATGGACCTGCAGTGAAGTCCCTAATCTTCATTTTTAACAAAGACAGAGGCAGCCTCAGGCTTGGCGCCTTCAGCTGACAAAAGTACAGACCTAAATAGAACCTAACGACCCCATCTGGCATCATTACATATATTTATATAGTTATCTACTAATTATGAATGAGAACTGGTATTTCATTCATAACAATGATGTAACCTTTCATTTAAAATAAATGTTCATCAACTTTTAACTTTAAAAATATAAACATTTTTATAAAACTTCCTAAATAAACACTTTTAAGTCTGGTTTACTTGAAGCACCTTCAAAATCTTTTTTTCATTTTTTATTGAAGTGTAATTTACACGGAGTAAAATACAGGCAGTCTCTGACTTAAAATGGTTCGACTTAACAATTTTTTGACTTTACGATGGCATGAGAGTAATATGCATTCAGCAGAAATCTCACTTTGAATTTTGATCCTTTCCAGGCTAGTGATAAGTAGCACGATGCTCTCTCATGATGCTGGGCAGTGTCAATGAATGTAAACCAATCTATTTTTCACTTTCACTGTAGTATTCAATAAATTACTTGAGATATTCAACACTCGATCATAACACAGGCTTCGTGTTAGAAGGTTTTGGGCGAATGGAAGTGTTCTAAGCACACTTAAGGTAGGCTGGGCTAAGCTATGATGCTTCGTAAGTTAGGTATATTAAATGTATTTTCAGTTTACATTATTTTCAACTAATGATGGACTCATCCAAATGCAGCCACACTGTAAGTTGAGGAAATCTATGCAGCTCTTGAGTGTTACTGTTCATAGAGTTTTGAAAAATACACATGCTCGTGAAGTCCACATTATTATCAAAATACAGAGGATGTCTAACATCCCAGAAGATTCTAGAACTTCACCTATTTGAAATCATAGAATAAGTTAATTTTTGACACTGGCTTCTTTCACTCAGTATGTTTTTAGATTCTTCTACATTGTCATGTATATCAGCACTTTATTCCTTTTTACTGACAAATATGACTTTGTACGTGCTTCCCAGGTGGCAGAGTGGTAAAGAACCTGCCTGCCATTGCAGGAGATGCAAGAGACATGGGTTTGATGACTAGGTTGGGAAGATCCCCTGGAGTAGGAAATGGCAACCCACTCCAGTATTCTTGCCTGGAGAAAACCAAACAAATGATGCAGATGCTGTGGAACTGTGGCAAAAATTATAAAGTGGTCCTGGCATTATTGAAGAGAATTTCCCCACTCACTTTACAGTGGAAGTCAGAGCACATTTGAGGTCATGGAAGTCAGGTAGGCCAGAGTGGACCCAGCTTCTCCCCACTGCAGGTTCCATGCCTACACCAGGGTTCCTTATGTTCACATACTGACCAGTGAGGTCAGATAATGCTTTGCTGTCAGGGGCTGCCCTGGCCCCATCCTAGTAAATAAACCCTAACAGAGACCCACCAGCCCTGAGCACCCTTCCCTCCTCCGGCAGAGCCTCGCCGGGGGTCACCTGCAGCGCCGAGAGACGGTCCTGGGTGCTCAACCGGCACTTGCGCCCCATGCAGCCGTGCACCCGCTCCACCACCGCCTTCAGCCAAAGCTGGAATTCATCCACGCTCGCCTGGAAACACTCATGCTCCCGGGTCACCTGCTCCAGCAGGTCCACTCTGTCCTGTGGGAGGGGAGGAGAAAGTCACAAGGGTCCCCAGCCCAGGCTGTCACTGGCCTCCCAGGCCTGACTCTGTATGTGTGTGTGTGTGTGTGCGTGGGGAACATGTGATGCAACTCACCCTCAACCCTTTTGCTGAACACAAAGATGCCAGACACTCCTCTGCCTTATTAGATACCAGCCAAGACACTCTTGGCTTTGCAGACCACAGCATGTCAACGCTGGGTCTGTCAACCACACAGCTGGCTCTTTTTCCTGCCATGTCCTTGGAATGGGGCTGTGGCAACAACTACATGCGAAGAGCCGACTCATCGGAAAAGACCCTGATGCTAGGAATGATCGAGAGCAGGAAGAGGAGGGGGTGACAGCAGATGAAATGGTGGGATGGCATCACCAACTCAATGGACATGAGTTTGAGCAAACTCCTGGAGGTGGTGAAGGACAGGGAAGCCTGGCGTGCTGCAGTCCATGGGGTCGCAAAGAGTCGGACATGACTGAGCAACTGAGCAACTACATATCACTACCATCCGCGCACTTACCAAGGCACCAGAGCTGCCCGGAGAACTCTGTGTACATGATCACTACTGCACGTTTCAGACTCCAGAGTCACTGCTCAGGCCCAGAAGGTGGCAGACTCTTTCTTTCTGGCAGAGGGTAGATACCCTGGGGTTAGCCGGCCACATGGTTTCTGTTGCAACTTCTCAACCACTTGTGTGCTAGTTACTTTGCAGGACGCAAGCAGCCACAGGAAAACACATAAAGAAGGGCTGTATGCCAGTCAAGTGAATCATGAACGCTAAAGTTTGAACTTCCTACCATTTTCACAATGTCATGAAATATTCTGTTTTACTTTTCCCCCAATCACTGAAAAATATAAAAACTCTTTTTGGTTCACAGGTCATAAAAACGCCAGGCATTAGGCTGGCTTGAGTCCACGTGCCAGAGTTTGCTGACCTCAGTTCTCAGCCACAGGGCCAGGCTGTGTTCAGGAAGGTCCTGACCTTCCACGGTGCTAAGTCAACAATTCTCAACTGGGAAGGGTAGATAGACACGTGGATTTGAATAACCTCCCTGGCTATCTGTATGTGCCTTCTCTTCCCATGGAGAAGCTCCTCACCAAGTCTAGAAATACTGATTCATTTAAACTTTTTTAAAAAATATGTTTTATTAAGATGGTCTCTAGCTATTTAAGCATGGCTGTGTGTGTTCTCAGCCATGCATGAATCTTCGCACCCCCATGGACTGTAGCCCATCAGGCTCCTCTGCCCATGGAATTTTTTCCAGCAAGAATGCTGGAGTAGGTAGCCATTTCCTCCTCCAGGGTGTCTTCCTGACTCAGGGATGGAACCCGTCTTGCATCTCCTATGTTGGCAGGCGAGTTCCTTACCACTAGTGCCACCTGGGAAGCCCCATTTAAATCTTCACAACTACCATAACAAGTGAGAAATAATATCCCCATTTCGGGAATGGGGAAATCAAGGCACAGGATCAAGTCTTTCAGTAAAGAGCTGAGAATTCTCTTACTTATGGGAGTGAGGCTCAGAACTTCAACATTGGCGCTTGGCAGATGGGAAACATGGGGCCGCTTGAATTCTGAAAGTGGACGGAGGCACAGTGACAGGCTCTTTCACTTGCCCTTGCTGGCTCCTCCTCCTCCCAGGGTTATTTGCATCCACCAGCACCCTTCCCAGCTTCCTCCCTCCAAGGGAAGATTCATTTGTAAAACAAAGTGGGTCAAGAATACTAAGCAGAGAATAAAGGCTGGGCCCCTGGTTGAGGCTGATGGTGATAAATGTAGTACCAAAGCCAACTCTCCAAGAAAAGTGCCACTGGCGGCTCTGCATGTGTGAAGTACGAGGTGCTGGCGCTCGGGGAAATCCAGAGTAAACAAAAGCCTCTGTGATGGTGAGCAGGCGCTCAGCAAGGAACACAGCCGAGTAGGGCAGGCATCCAGCCGCTTTCTGTGCCAGGCAGAACGAGATCACAGGACACAATTCAGCCATGGCCAGCCAGCCCACGTCGGAGGAATGTGCCTGACAAATGAGAGAGTGCTCCACCCCCTCTCATTAGACCCAACAATTAACCCATCTGTGCGGGCAGAGTTGCCAGGAATGTCAAAACCCAACCAATTAACAAGGGCAGCGTGGAATCATGCCTCTGCAGAAAGCTGCAGGAAGGGCCCTGATTCCTGGCCGAGATGCCAAACAAACAGGGCCCCTGCCCCGGGAGGCAGGGAGGAGGCGGATGCTACTATTTGCCTGGCTCTCCGAAAACAGAATCCCTGGATTGAAAACCACGGGGCGAAGTAAACAAGCAGGCCCCACCCACAGGCAACCAGCCTGCTCTGTCTGTTCCTGGCTTTCAGTTGCTTTCAACTGACTGTGCCATTGCTCATCCCCAGGTTCAGCCCTTTGTCCTGGTCAAGAATCTGCCCCACGCCACAGGGTGGTCTCAAAGGCCCCAGTCCAAAGTGGCCCCTACCATGCTTCTGTGGTCCTGTCCCTACCAACACCAGAGGCCTGGATAATTAACATATCAGAAGCCAAAACTGGATTCTTAGAGGCAAAGATAGTGGCCTGTTAACTAGCAGAAGAAATGATGGAAAGAACTCTCCTTGGTGAAAGCTGAGATGTTAATACAAACATTAGGACTTCCCTGGTGATCCAGTGGTGAAGAATCTGTCTGCCAACGCAGGGGACACGGGTTTGATCACTGGTCTGGGAAGATTCCAGACATGCAGCAGGGTAATTAAGCCCATGTGCCACAACTACTGAAGCCCATGTGCCCTAGAGCCCACACTTGGCAACCAGAGATGCCCACGCAACTAGATAAAGCCCATGAGCAGCAATGAAGACCCAGGGTGGCCAGAAGTAAATAAATAAACAAAAGTAATACATATAGTATTTCTTTTTTTTTTTTCCCATTTATTTTTATTAGTTGGAGGCTAATTACTTTACATCATTGCAGTGGGTTTTGTCATACATTGAAATGAATTAGCCATGGATTTACATGTATTCCCCATCCCGGTCCCCCCTCCCACCTCCCTCTCCACCCGATCCCTCTGGGTCTTCCCAGTGCACCAGGCCCGAGCACTTGTCTCATGCACCCAACCTGGGCTGGTGATCTGTTTCACCCTAGATAATATACATGTTTCAATGCTGTTCTCTTGAAACATCCCACCCTCGCCTTCTCCCAGAGTCCACAAGTCTGTTCTATACATCTGAGTCTCTTTTTCTGTTTTGCATATAGGGTTATCGTTACCATCTTTCTAAATTCCATATATATGTGTTAGTATACTGTAATGGTCTTTATCTTTCTGGCTTACTTCACTCTGTATAATGGGCTCCAGTTTCATCCATCTCATTAGAACTGATTCAAATGAATTCTTTTTAATGGCTGAGTAATATTCCATGGTGTATATGTACCACAGCTTCCTCATCCATTCGTCTGCTGATACAGAATAGAAAGCCCAGAGATAAATCCACGAACCTATGGTCACCTTATCTTCGACAAAGGAGGCAAGGATATACAATGGAAAAAAGACAACCTCTTTAACAAGTGGTGCTGGGAAAACTGGTCAACCACCTGTAAAAGAATGAAACTAGAACACTTTCTAACACCATACTCAAAAATAAACTCAAAATGGATTAAAGATCTAAATGTAAGACCAGAAACTATAAAACTCCTAGAGGAGAACATAGGCAAAACACTCTCCGACATAAATCACAGCAGGATCCTCTATGACCCACATCCCAGAATTTTAGAAATAAAAGCAAAAATAAACAAATGGGACCTAATGAAACTTAAAAGCTTTTGCACAACAAAGGAAACTATAAGCAAGGTGAAAAGACAGCCCTCAGATTGGGAGAAAATAATAGCAAACGAAGAAACAGACAAAGGATTAATCTCAAAAATATACAAGCAACTCCTCCAGCTCAACTCCAGAAAAATAAATGACCCAATCAAAAAATGGGCCAAAGAACTAAACAGACATTTCTCCAAGGAAGACATACAGATGGCTAACAAACACATGAAAAGATGCTCAACATCACTCATTATCAGAGAAATGCAAATCAAAACCACAATGAGGTACCATTATACGCCAGTCAGGATGGCTGCTATCCAAAAGTCTACAAGCAATAAATGCTGGAGAGGGTGTGGAGAAAAGGGAACCCTCTTACACTGTTGGTGGGAATGCAAACTAGTACAGCCACTATGGAAAACAGTGTGGAGATTTCTTAAAAAGCTGGAAATAGAACTGCCATATGACCCAGCAATCCCACTTCTGGGCATACACACCAAGGAAACCAGATCTGAAAGAGACATGTGCACCCCAATGTTCATCGCAGCACTGTTTATAATAGCCAGGACATGGAAGCAACCTAGATGCCCATATAGTATTTCCTATCGACTGAGATGCAACTTCCCCAAATTCACCTGTTGAAATCCTAACCCTCAAAGTGATGATATCTGGAGGTGGGGCCTTTGGGAACTAATCAGGATCATAGGAGGTCGTGAGGGTGGGGCCCTCACAATAGGATTAGTGCCTCTGTAAAAACAGATATCAGAGGGTTTGCAAACACCTCCCTGCCACTGTGTGAGGACAAAGCGAGAAGGCAGATGTCTGCAAGTCAAGAAGAGGCTCCTCAGTGGGAACCAAATCTGCTGACATCGTGAGTTTCACCTTCCAGTCTCCAGAACTGTGAGAAAGAAATTACTGCTTTCAAAGCTGCCCTGTCTAAGCTGTTCTGTTCTGTCTGACCTGAGCAAGCTAAGACAATATCCCAGGGACCCTGCCCACACTGAGAATAGGCCTGGACCTCTAGGAAACCCTGCAAGGCTCTCGTCGCTGGAGTAGAAGGATTTCAGTTGCCTCCTTAGGGTGGCTTTCTCATCTGCCTTTAACACAAGGCAAGGCCTTCATCAAATGTACAGAGAGCAGGTGACTAGGAGGCATTCAGGTCAACAAGAACCTCAGGGCTTCTGGACATGCAATGTCCCCCACCCTGCATCGGATGGAGCCAGAGCGGTCTCCTTTTGTCTGGGGCTGGAAGGCCCAGTATGGGGTAGGCCTGGGAGGCTGATATCAGGGGATGTGGGAAGGCTACTCCCTATTTTACTAAGGAGGAAGCTTGCTAAGGGTGTTGCAAAAGTTTGCCCCTCTCTGTAGCTTCTGTCTTCTGAAGGTCACGGCACCATCTAGAATCCAGTGGAAACTATGGCTGTTCTCTCCAGCAAAGTGCACATTCACACGACAGCTTGAATGTAACCTCAGAGGCTCTGTAGGGGCCGACCCTGGCTCCTCCCCACCCAGCACCTTTCAACCTTCTGCAGCCAGCTCTGGGACAGACAAGAAACAGCTCCACGCTCGCTACCCCCATCCCAGCCTCCTTCCAAGAGCTATCTGGGCTTCCATGAGTTACAACAGAGTTCCCAAACTTCTAACATCCAGAAAGTGAAAATCAAGCATCTGTGAGCTTCAGCCAACAGCCCAAAAGTCCAAACTGAACTGCTTTCTTTCACAGGGTCCAATCATCCTGCAACCCCCGCCCCCACCCCCCAGTTTCCACATCAAGGTCAGAATTCACTAGCTCATCTGGCAACTCCAACGGCTTCAGCCAGGACGGCAGCTCCCCCTGCCCCACACCAACCCCATTCTTACAAGGCAGAGTCCCCACACTCCTAGCCCAGGAGGCTGCTAGCTCGGCTCGGCCTCCGGGGAAACCCTTGGGAAAAAACCTGCTCCCTCATCCAGGAATTCGAAACCTCCCGCATACCACTGCTTCTGCTTTCTCTTTTTTTGTGTTTTGTTTTGTTTTGTTTTTTGCTTCCTCTTTCTAAGCCTGACCCACAAGAGTTCCAGCTGCCCCCCTCCACTTTCCTCTGATGGGCACAGGTGCAGCGGCTCATCCGGGACCTGGGGCTCCATTAAAGGAGGAGCCCACATAGGAAGTCGCCAGGACTTCCAGTTCTTTCTAAGGGGCCAGTGGTATCCGACCCTTAAATTATTCTTTTTTAAATTTTTATTAAAGTATAGTTGATTTACGATTTTGTGTTAACTTCTGTTCTACAGCAGAGTGATTCAGTTATACAGGTATATACATTCTTTTTCATGTTCTTTCCCATTACAGTTTATCACAGGATATTGAATATAGTTCCCTGTGTTATACAGTAGGACCTTGCTGTTTATCTGTGGATTATTTTTTTAAGTTAAGAGAGTCCCCTGGAGGGACGATGAGAACCTCTGAGGTGATAATTTTTCAGAACTGGTGCTCACAGGTGCCCCAAGTATGTCCCTTCCACACACGTGTACACACACACACACAAAGCCACTTTCTGCTTCCTGCATGAGTAGCTCTCTGTTGATTGACACAAGAACCTATTTCCTGTAAAGTCACAGCCGGGAGGCATCTCCCCTGCTAGGGCCCACGGGGCAGACCTGGAGAGAGGATTGCTGCTAAGCCGGCTCCAGTCACTTGGATGCAGTGATGGAGGGCCAACTGGTAACATTTCCTAGAGACAAGCTCCACCCACCTGCCTGTCCTCCAAGCCTCCAAGCTGCAGTAGCAGGGTTTTCATTCATCGAGAGAATGGCTCCCAGCACCTGCTGTGTGGCAGACTCCATTGTTGTGGCTATTTATTATCATAGCTACTGAGAGCAGACCTCATCCTTTATGCTGGGAAAATGTTCTCCAGTCTTCAAAGAGCTCAGGTGCACACGCATTCAGGGTGAGCGGCCCTGGGGACACACAGCTGGGAAGCAGCAGAGCCTGGCTGGAACCCAGGTCCCTCCCCAAGCATTCAGGGGCCAGAATCCTATTCCTGCTTGCAGATTCCCAGATCTGGGTTTATTATAGAACCATCTCCCATAACTTGGAAGGACCCAGGAGACTTCCAGCTCCAGCAACACGGCAGACTAGAAGCCTGAATACCCTTCTACCACAGCTAGCCAGAAATGCTGGATAAATGTAACAGGCATGTTTTAAATGCAGAACCACACACACACACACGTGGTAAGCGATTTCCCGTGGACCAGATGCAACAGATGCAACAGATGATGCTACAGAAAACAGGTTACTAAACTCACACATGTGCTTGACATTTCCTTGGTTGCTCAGGTTGCGGGAAGAAGTAAGACTCTGGGTCCCGGGGGGTGGAGACCACTGCACAAAGGCAGAACTCTCAAGGGGCTCCCCCTCTGTCAAAGGGTGAACTAGAGAAAAAACCTTCCCACCAGCACAATCCAGGAAAGAAGCACATGTCTTTCAGCCTGGGCTCTGTCTAAGAAAACAAATGAAGAAACATTCACCTTTCAGAGTATGCAGCCAAGAGCCTCTGCACCATTTTGGCTGGGGCTTCAGGTGCAGAGAACCCACTTGATTTAGGAACCCCCAAGACAATTTAGTGACATGAAAACAGAAATCCTGAAGGTAAATTCCCACAGCACCCTGGCTGGAGCAAACACAAGTTCTCTGAGGACCAGGCCCAGCCACAGGGTTCTGCAGATAGGGTTCAAACTGGATGAGCTCACAGCTCAGAATTACAAAGCCCCCATGGAAACAATCCACCATGCTGGGAGACCCAATGGACAGCACCATCAGGCTTGGAACTTCAGCTACCTGAGCAGTCTGATGACTGTAAAATACACATGCTTAGAATGACTATGGATAGCATCCTTATCTGGGTGGAGTGCAAAGTTTAAAGGAAAAAGGAGAATGAACAAAAGAACAGACATAATACAAAACCAAACAGAATTTCTTGAAACAAAATTGAACATGATAACTCAATGGACGATTTAAACCAAGGCAAGAACGAGGTGAGACCAGTCCAAGTTTGAGGCATGAAACAAGGCACTCAAAGCCGGTGTACTGGGACAACCCAGAGGGATGGGATGGGGAGGGAGGTGGGAGGGGGGTTCAGGATGGGGGACACATGTACACCCGTGGTTGATTCATCTCAACGTACGGCAAAAACCACCACAATACTGTAAAGTAATTAGCCTCCAATTAAAATGAATAATTTTTTTAAAAAAAGAATGAGATGAGAGATAGCGACAAAGAGTGAACAGAGGGATTGTGAGAAGGACAAGAGAGCAAAGAAGGACTAAAGTACAAGAGGAGAGAGGGAGGAAGAGGAGAGGAGAGTCAGGCGGAAGTGAAGCTCACGGTACAACAGTCTGTCAACACCCACATACTAAGTACCTACATGTGTATTAAGCATGAGCAATACTGGCCGTCTGAACGGCAGACAATGTGTCAGTGGGCCGATGGATGGTGGAGGGCTGGGTGGACGGGTAGGTGGAAGGTTGATGGGTAGGTAGCTACAAACTGCTTGAGTGAGTGGATGAAGAGACAGGTGACAAGTAGACAGGAGGTACGTGGGTGAAGGGTGGACAGTGGCTGGTGGAGAAATGGTGAGTGAAGAGTACAATGGTGGGCTGATGAGCAGGTGAATGAATAGATGGATGGGTGAGTGATTAAGTGGTTGTATAGAGGAACAGGAGATCTGGTTAGGTTGGTGGGGAGGTAGATGGATGAGTTTGTAAACTGATAGATAAAAAAGAGGGTAGGTAGATGGAAGGTTGGGCAGGTAAGCGGATGCAGCCATGAGTGGGTAGACCGTGACTGGGAGCTTTGGTAGTTCAGTGGGGAGATAGGTGGTGAGCGAATAGACATGGATAGGAGGGTAGGGAGATGGGTGGATGGGAGGTGGTGGGTTGATAGTAGATGGTGAATAGGTGGATGGATAGATGTTTAGAGAACAAATGAGTGGCTGGATGGGTAGATGGGATAAACGGATGGATGAGTGAAGACAGCCCACCACCCTCACCCACCTGGGCTTTGGCCTTCACTGCGTCATACTCAGCCTTCATCCGCTGCTGGGCGTCTTCGTCCACACTGGGATCCCCGATCCTGTTGAACAGGGAGGCCGCCTCCTCCAGCAGCCGGTCCAGGAGCACCGCCTGGTGATCCGCATTGCGCAGCAGCACCTGGGCGTGGTCCAGCTGCCACTGCTTCTCCTTCAGGCCAGGCTGCAGCTCCACGGGGGGCGCGAGCGTCACCGTCATCTTCTGGAACCAGCGGTAGAACTCATCCCTGGCCCGCAGGTACTCGCTCCAGTGCAGCCACACCCACTCGATCCGGCTGCGGGTGGAGGCGGAAGCGGAAGCCACGTGCACGGTGAGCATCCCCCACCTGGCTCAGGTTGGGGAGTCCTACCACTGCCCCCTCCCCGGTGCAAGGGGCTTGTGGGTGGCGGGCACAAGGACACCCTCTCAGGCCTCACCCCAGTCCTACTAGACAAGACCCTCCTGTCTGGGAAGCAAGCCCCATGGGGCTGACCATCAGGGTAGCTCAGATCGCAGACCCGTGCTGAGAACCCACAGTCTGCTGATGCCCTTGGCCACCAGAACCCCAAATCCTAGCCTGAAAATCCCATTAGTGACACACAGCGCCTCCAGTCACTCCTCTCTGGTGCTGGGACCCCACACACAGCCACTCTGTCTCTTACTACATGGGTGCCCACTAGCTGTCCCAAGAAGGCTGCCACGGGGTGTGTATATATATCATCATTTTCAGAGGAAATAGAATCTGTGGGCTCCTCACTGCTCAGTGGGGACAGAGGGCTGGGGGCCTGTGTGTGGCTCCCAGGCATGTCACGAACTCTGCCTTACCCGACCTCTGCACCCACCTCAGTTTCCCATCTGTAACATGGAGATGGCCTATTGGTGCAGCCAACATCCAGCCACTTTGTCTGGAATCCCAATGAAAGAGTTTGAAAAGCAGAAAGCGTAAAAGTCCTGCCAGTCCACTCATTCTGATTTTATTAAGATGGAAAGGATGCTGGTAGCTTCTGCCCATCAAAGACCTCCTCTGTGCGAGGGCTGTGCCTGGCTCTCGACATTTTTTCTCCCGCCATCCTCCTAATGACTTTCTTTAAGAAACACTTAATGATATCCATTGTCCAGATGAGACACGTGAGGCTCAGAGAGGTCAAGTAACTTTCCCGAGACCACACAGCAAGTACCCAGCAAAGCAAAAAGCAGTCTCGAGTCAGTTTAAGCCCCCACTCCCACCAGGCTCCCTGGTACAAAGAGAAAATCTGGACTAAAGTGCTAACAAGGCAACAGGGCTTCTTCCCCCCAGGGCCATTCAGGCCCTTCTGCTGGAGGGTGCATACAAGGCAAGCCTCCTGAGAACTAACTGTGGGCAAAACACGATGGCCTCCCACTGTCTATTATCATCATTAAGCTCAACTGTAATTAGAAAGAGGCAGGCAGGCTGGCTGACATCTCAAGAGAGCATCCTGTTCCCAGCTATCCCTGGACCTGAGAGTTGTTGCTCGGGCGGGGGCCCCAGGCCCACGTGGTGGGCATAGCAGGTTGGCAGCAGGCCTGCAGAGAAAGGCCTGGCAGGGTCCCCGGCCGCCCTACCTGTGACAGTGGGTCATGTAGGTGACCGTCTCCTCCCACTGGGCCTTGATGTCTCTCAGCTGAGCCAGGATCTCGGTCTTCTGGTCCTCATGGCAGCATGCCAGAAGGGCTTCAGCCGCCTGCAGCACCACATCCACCTTCACGCGGCCCTCTGGCTCCAGCTGGCATATTTTCTGCCGTGGACACGAAGCCAGTAGTTAGACAACATGACAACAGGCAGAGCCTTGGGAAGACAGTGGCATGACGTGGAAAGAGGCAGGACGTGGAGACCAGAGGAGCTGGGGTTCGAATTACAGTCCCTGCCCCTTCTCCCGTGACCTCGGGCAGCCTGATGAGGGGCCTGGGGTGGGAGCGAGCCGTGAAGGAGATTAATTAGTACAGAACCGGCCAGAGCTGTCCGATGATAGGAGTTCTCTCCCTTCCAAGGCTGGCCTGTTTCCAGCTGTGTAAATCCAGACAAGTGTCACTGTCTCCCTGAACTTGGTTTTCTTGTCTGTAAAGTGGGAGTATAGTTGTACTCAGCTCTCAGAAATTTTTTCTTTTTTTTTCAGACTTCACTGAGAAAATGCACCCAAAGTGCATGTCCCAGGGCTCGGGGCTGTGAGAATCTGCCTCTCAGGTCTACTGCCTGGAGCAGGCTTGGCTGGGGCCCCCTGCTGAGACTCCAGAATTATCTCTGACTTATAGCTGGTACCAAGGCCTCAACCCCTCAGCTGCTGCCACCAGTGACCACAAATAGGAATGTGAGGGCAGGCCTGTGCCAAGGGGACCCTGGGCTCCTCGGATGGGCTCAGGATGCCCCCCGGCCTTACCAAACTCCCTTAGACTCGCAGGGCAGCCTAAGAAGCTCCTGACCTTCTGGACTCAGGGTCAGACCTGCATTGGACTGACCTGGTCCCTCCCAGCCTCCCAGGATCCCGCTTCATTTTCTCTCAAGGTGATTCCCTCTTAAACTTCTTGCACATTTAATGTCATCTTGGCCTTGGCTTTTTTGGAGGACTAAGGCTGGCACACAACATCTAGCCAATAGTACAACTCTGATCAGCATCAGCTACTGTCATTACTAACTGTTATTATTCCAGCTTTTTGGCAATTAAAGCCTGGTCTCTCTAGTCAAAATACAACTGGACTCCAATTCTACAGCTACCTGTGTGACCTCTGGGACATAAACTCTCCAGGGCTGTGAAATGGGGGAAGACAGTGATTACGCTACCCAGGGTTATGGTAACCTGTGTGATAGGAGAGCCATTAGCACATGGTCTGGCCACGTTGGATCTTCCATCCCTCCACAGTTGTTCACTGTTACTACTACCTTTTACCTACCTTTTGATTGTATTTGCTGACAGCACAGCTTTTGCCTAAAGCTCTGGCTGTTCCCCAGCCTGTCTCCGTGAGGCCGGCGGTCGGATTTCTCAGACTGATGTCCCAGCGGGCTGGCCCATCTGAGCCCTGTCTGTGGGTGGGGTTGGGGAGCGCCTCCCGCCCTGCGATGCTGCCTCACTGATTACTGTGTGACCCCAGGCAGGTCACTCAATCACTCTGAGATGGTGATGACAATCCCTGCTTTGTCCACTTCGTAGGGTTATAAAATTACTCTTTAAAAATACTATTAATTAGATCACTGATATGTGAGTATACTTTATGGACCACTGAGCAATTATGAGAAGACTCTTGAGAGTCCCTCGGACTGCAAAGAGATCAAACCAGTCCATCCTAAAGGAAATCAACCCTGAACGTTCACTGGAAGGGCTGATGCTGAAGCTGAAGCTCCAGTCCTTTGGCCACCTGATGTGAAGATCTGACTCGTTAGAAAAGACACTGATGCTGGGAAAGATTGAAGGCAGGAGCAGAAGGGGACGACAGAGGATGAGATGGCTGGATGGCATCACCGACTCGATGGACATGAGTTTAAGCAAGCTCCAGGAGATGGTGGAGGACAGGGAAGCCTGGCATGCTGCAGTCCACAGGATCGCAACAAGTCAGACACAACTGAGCGACTGAATTATGAAGACCCTCCCCCAACATGTGCAAAGGGGCAATGATCCAAATCCTTTTTGTTACCTCATATGAGACTTCCCTGATAAACTCAGTTGGTAAAGAATCTGCCTGCGATGCAGGAGACCCCAGATCAATCCCTGGGTTGGGAAGATCTGCTGGAGAAGAGAAAGGCTACCCACTCCTGTATTCTGGCCTAGAATTCCATGGACTGTATAGTCCATGGGGTCGCCAAGAGTCAGATATGACTGAACGACTTTCACATGAGAATGGTTAACGATGATGATGATAATGATGAGAGTGTAGAGGGCTTTCCCGCCCACATGTATTAGCAAAGCATGAGATTAAACAAGCTCTTCCCAAGGGCTGTGTCCGTGTGCTCTGAATGGGGTGGGGTTGGGATCTGCAGAGTGAAGAACAGGGAGATTCCTCAAGAGAGGGAAAGAGCTTATGTTTGGGGTTTAGGGGCCAGGCTGAGCAGCAGGATTTGCAGGACTCCAGAAGGTAATGGGGGCAGCAAACTCCCAACAGGGACCCCCAAGTCCTGCTTAGCAGCAAACAGCAAAGGGGAAGACAAAGACACCATAGTGACGGGTGGCTACTGAGGATCCAGGGCCACCATGGGATGTTCTGGACTAAGTAAGATCATCACCCAACCCCTGCAGAGAACATTTCACACCACTCGGGAGCAGGAGTCCCACAGGGTGGCAGAGGATGAATTTCTTGTGATCCAGTGAGATCTATTTTGGTTAGAAATAATAACAATAATAATTAAGAATCTGACGTTTCTGTGCTGGGGGGCAACTGAGCCCATGGACCGAAACTACTGAGTCCTGCACACTCTAGACCCGCACTCTGCGACAAGAGAATCCACCACAATGAGAAGACCAAGCACTGCAGTGAAGTGCTCACCGCATCTAGAGAAAGACCATGCACAGCAATGAAGACCCAGCACAGCCAAAAATAAATTTTAAAAAAAAAGGAATCTGATGTTTCTGACACCCAGAGCTGTGGAGGAAACCACACGTCCACTCCAAAGTCGGCAAAATGGGCACCATCGTGACTCCAGTTTTACCAGCAGGGGTGCTGGGACCCGCAGACACTTCGGCTTTGCAGAACCATTCTCTGCAGCACTTCATGGGGCCCCCTCTATGTCAGGGGGGCAGCTCAGGATCCAGCTCTATGAATGGAGAGAGCCAGCAGCTTGGGGAAGAAGCGAAGTTCAGTCTCTGCCATGCGCAGAACGAACCAGCCGAGCCTGAAAAGGCCCCGTGAGGTCAAGAGTCCCAAAGTCCAGTGTCCTGACCGCGTGATCTGCTTCAGGCCTCTGGACCTTTGCGCTCCGATTCCTGGCCAGGGAGGTACAGGCTGGGTGAGGCGGACGTGGGAGACCTCAAGATTCACTGCCCTTTGCAGGGGGGTTTGCCTGTTGCCTCCCGCCAGAGAGAGGAGCTGGTCACAAAGGCCGGCAGCTCACAAGCCCCACCTGGCCTGCCGCAGAAACCTCTGCCTCCAAACCAGAATATCAGCCAGATGAATGTCTGCTGCGGGCCTGGGGCCAGGGGACCAGAGGCTGGGGCTGAGCTGACAAACAGCTTTTGAGAAGCAGGTTCCACCTCCCTCTCTGCCCCGTGATTCTGCTCTTTGGCTGGTGTGGGGTTCTTCTACAGCCTGTCCCCAGCAAGACGAAGTCCAGGACAGCTTGGCAAGAGACTCGAGCAACTGGGAAGGGGTCACAGAACTGCAACCTGCAAAGCAATTCTAATTCAAAGGAGCCAGGTGAGGGCAACAGTCAGGTGGGGCTGGGTGGAGGGGAAAGCTCAGTGAGAAGAGAAGCAGATCAGGAAAGCAGGCGGAATGTAGGGAGTGAGGGCTTTCCCTCTATACAGTCAAGGCCAGACGGGCACTCTCCTGAGTACTAATGCTGAGTACTGTGCTGGGTGCTATGCTGAGTACTATGATGGGCACTCTCCTGAGTACTGTGCTGAGTGCTATGGTGGGTACTATGCTAAGTTCTATGATGGGTACTATACTGAGTACTGTCCTGGGTTCTAGAATCCAGGATGAAAACAAACATGGCCCAGTGCTTGCGTGCTGTGGTGGGGTCTGTAGTCAAGAGCACAGATGACTATAAGAGAGCCATGAGAGACCACAAAATTGGAGCTCCAAGGAGGGATGTGGGCAATCCAAGAAGCCTTCATGAAGAGGCAGCACTGTCACCGAGCCTCAGTGTTGTACAGACATGTGAGATGGGGGCTCCAGCAAAGCTAGGAACACACGGCATGTTAAGGGCATCAGACTTCTGGAAGCCAAGTCCTAGGAGATGTGGCAGCTCTCTGACCACTAAGGGGCCTGGAAACCAGTTAGGAAGCAGCCTGGCTGAGGCTCCAAGTGCAGGGCCAAGGAGACTGGGAACCAGAGGGTGAAGAGACAAGATGCTGTGACCTAGGAGACCAGTCCGGAGGTACGGGGCGAGGACTGGGAGAGTCCACAGACTGGTGTTCCCTGCACTGACCCCATGAGGAACACTCCTCTCCGCTGGGCCGGCTCTGCCAGCGTGCCCCGCACTTTGCCAAGTGTGCCAGTGAGTTACTGGCCTTGGTCCTCCCTCCCCGCTGCAAGGCGACAACTACCACTTTCCCAGGGAGCTAAGCTGAAGCCCAGGGGGCAACAGAAACTCTCCCCGGGCCCTGTGGCCACAGCGGGAATTCAAGCCCAGGCCTGCCCACCCCAGACCCCAAGCTCCCCCCCTCCCCCAGACTCCTCCATCCCCTCCCCCTGCATCCCCTAACCTGGCTCACTGCTCTTCATTCAAGCCTCAGCAGTGACGTCGCTTGTCCCCCAAGGCCTCTCCTGACCTGCTAGCCTGGGGGTCACCAGCTTGTCCCAGGAGCAGCCACTCTCCAGTCTGTTCCACAGGAGATGCTCACCTCCGGGAGGGACCAGGAGGCTCCTGCAGCCCCTCAGAACACAGGAAGGCAGCCCACAGCCCTCAGAACACGGGAGGGCACCCCACAGCCCTCAGCACACAGGAGCGCATAGGCCCCACTCCTGGCCACACAGCTACTAAGCTTCAGAGCTGGACTGAAACTCACATCGGGTCACTAGCAAACAGGCACCGGGGACGTGCACGGCTGAGCAGGTGGAGGGAAGGCACAGGAGACCCCAGGCTCCAGGGAGAGGTCCCACGGACCGCAGGTGGGGACGAGGTCCCACGGACTGCAGGTGGGGAAGGTACTGCGGCTCCTTTTCACCAGGAGGCAGGAGGGAAATGTTTTCTTATTGCAAAATCGATGTTGAAACACCGAAGCACACAGAAAATGTGTGGGTCTGAGCCCCGTGGGAGAGCACAGGGGTGGGGCGCCCAGGATGTGGCTCCCCCACCTAGGCTCCTGGCCCAGCGCTCAGGGTTTCACCTGATGGAAGTGCTCCTGTGGCTTCTGGGGCCCATTCACCTTGTCCTTGCCAACAGCCCTTCCCTAAGGATCACCTTTGCCTTCGCCTAACTAAGCCTGACCCACCACCACGGGGTAATGAGCTGCCCCCAAACAGTGCAAAGATGCAAAGAGACAGCGTGCTAAGACAGCAAGTGCCATGCAGAGAGGTTCACAGACAGGGAATGTCAGGAGCTCGGACTGGGGCTGGGGGAGGGGCTCAGAAAAGACTCGTGGACAGGGGCGGCAGGCGTTTCGTTTCACGTGCACACTCGGACCCAAACGAAGGGCGTTCCAAGTAGAGGCAACAGCGTGCACAAAGGCTTGGTGACCGGGAATCGAGGTTTCCTGCCAACAGGAGAGGATGTGTGCCCGGGAGGTGGGCTGGCGGGGGAAGCGAGGCTAAAGAATAGGGCCATGTAGATAGATGGTAGAGGACTTTTGATGTCAGGTGAAGCTGGGTTTTCTCTGCTGGGCAATGGGGAGCCACGGAAGGTTGTAGAGGAGGAGAATAGTATCATGAACCCATGTTAGGGACGCACCGCTTCCATTCTCGTGCGGCTGCTGGGTTACATGTGCACCTGTCCCTGTTAGGCCATAAACCCGAGCACAGCGTATTCCGCATCCCTCCCACTGGTCCAGGCCCCTACACGGGGATGGCCAGTGACGCTCGGAACTCAGCTCTGGGTTCAAGCCCTGAGAAGACCAATTGCTTTCATTCTGGCCCATCGCTGTGGCTAGGGATCCATTTCATTATTGAAAAGTGGGGACACGACATCACAATATCAGGGCTTCTGGGAAACTAATGAAAGCTGACAGCACAGGCTCAAGCACTTAATAACAGCCGAAGGAACGTCACCACCTTTCTCCCAGTGACCCGGCAGCGGCACCCATCTGACAGACGACGATCGGTGACAATGATACTGATGACAAAGGCCAAGACTGACAAGGGAGGGGACTCTGGCTGCCAGCTCCTCTCCCCACCAGGCTCGCCCCCTCCCTTCAACCCTGACCCTCCCAATCTCTGCCTTGTGCCGGGTGTAGGTAGAGCTGGACTCCAGCCCCAGAAGAGCCGAGGCAGGGGCCTCAGGCACAGGGAAGCAGAGATGGGGTGGGAAGCAGGGCCGGGGCCAGCTGGGGCAGAGATCACCTGACTGCATGGGGCCTCCTGGCAGGATGGGTGAGCCAGAGGGTGGGCTCTAGAGCCTTAAAATGAAAGCGCGATCCTAGGACCCGCGGCAGGAGCATGTCAGAAATGGCACGTCCACCTCCTGGCTGAGTTTAACCTGCACTTAAAACCCCAGAGATTCCAAGACATCCGAGTTTGAGAAACACCGGTCTGTGCACTTCTGCCATGCAACAGCTGGGGAGTAACCTGAGGCCTGAGACGGAGGGTTATCGAGGCCACGGCCTCCGCATACCTCGGTCTCCCGCAGCCTGGCCTCCAGCGCCGTGCGGGGGCCCTGGGTGTTGTCACTGATCTGCAGCCGCTCCTGCACTGCCCTCATCCACCGGCGGGCATCCTCCACGCTCCTGTCGAAGCCCTCCTGGGGCTGCTGAGTCATGGCACCTGCGGGGGCTGAAGACAGGACCACGTGAGATCAGACAGACAGGTGAGAATGCTTGGGGGTGGGGCGGGGGGGACAGGGAGGCAGGGGGGCAGGGGGTGCTGTGGAGGGGCCCCGGCTGGCTGATGGGCGCTGGGTAAGAATAGGGGAGGCTGACCCTAGGGGTGGGCCCAGACCCCCAACCCCCAAGCCCTTCCTGATGCTCTGGTGCTTGACTCTGGTGACACAGCCAGAGGCAATTGTGTTTGTCAAACAGCCACAGGGCTGGAAATGGTCCGAGAAGGAAAACAGGTCTGGCCTCTCCGGTGGGGGGTGGGGGGAGTGCTGCTGGGCAGGGAGAGCGGGCCCAGGGTGTTGGGCTGGCAAAGACTCTTTGTCCTAGCTCCCTGGGCCCCTCTGATGCTACCGTGGGACTCGGGAGTAACTCTCTTCTCTTTGGTTGGAAACCCCTTCAAAAGCAGATCCTAAAACACACACAGGCTGAGATGTCTGTGACAAGATACTGAATCTGGATCAGAATGAATCAAAACCCTCAAACCGAAAAAACACAATTTTTTGGCATCGGCCAGGCTGTCGCCAGCCCCTAAACTTCACCTGGAATTAACATCTCAGGCTGGGGATACCCCGCGAGCCTCGTGTCTTGTTACTTCTACTGCTCCACCAACCTGGGTCCCTGGCAGATACTGGCTAAGCGCTTCCACTGACCTACATACCACCTGGGGCTTCCCCAGGGGTTCAGTGGTAAAGAATCTGCCTGCCAATGCAGGAGACGCAGGAGATGAAGGTTCAATCGCCGGGCCGGGAAGATCCCTTGGAGGAGGAAAAGACAACCCACTCCAGTATTCTTCCCTGGAAAATCCCATGGACAGAGAAGCCTGGCAGGCTACAGTCCATGGGATCACAAAGAGTCAGACATGACTAATCAATTGAGCACAAAACATCATGCACCACCTACACCTGGCAGCCACTGACAACCAACTGACTTTGCCTTTGAGCTAAGACCCACTGCCTTCAGGGTCATACGCCCCGGGGCAGATATCTTTCCCCGCTAAACCAATCCTTTTGCCATCCTGCCCCCTCCTCTCTTACCTTCTAGCTGTGGATACAAAGTTCCAGATTTTCCTCCTGTAATTTTCTTAAAATCCCATTAAGCCCGGGAAAAACTCTTCTGTGTTTCAGTTCTAGTTGTCTGCTTATGACAACTATAACCAACTTCGGATTAAAGTTATTTATATCTGCATCTTAGGTGAAAGGATTGTGTCTAGCTTATCCTCCACTCTCCCACAATGCCTTGCACAGAGTAAAGCCTCCATCAATGTTGAAACAGTTCTGCCTTGGTATAAACTGCCATGCGCCCCACACCTACCACAGTATTTGTTAAAATGGTGAGACAAAAGTAGAAACAACCCAGATGCCCAGCAATAGGCATAATTAAGGGAAGTATCACATACTTGTACTTCAGAATATTATGCAGCCAACAAAAAGTAAGCTTGAAATGAATTTGTGATGGAGAGTGCTTAGGTTCTAATGATAATATTAAAAAAATGCAACAAAATTTATCTTTAGCAACCCTGGCTCAAGGGCTTCCCAAGTGGCACTAGTGGTAAGGAACTCGCCTCCCAAGGCAGGAGACACAGCAGATGTGGGTTCAATCCCTGGCTCAGGAAGATCCCCTGGAAGAGGAAATGGCAACCCACTCCAGTATCCTTGCCTGGGTTATCCCATGGACAGAGGTGCCTGTCGGGCTATAGTCCATGGGATTGCAAAGAGTCTGGCACGACTGAGCCCTGGCTCTACAGCTAATAAAAATAAAGGGCTTCCCTGGTAAAAAAAAAAATAAATAAATAAAGGGCTTCCCTGGTGGTCCTTGCTTCCACTGCAGGGAGCACGGGTTTGATCCCTGGTTTCAGAACTAAAATCCCACATGCTGCATGGCGTGGCTAAAAAGGTAAACAATCACAACAAACAAAAAGACCAAAACCACAAAAAACTATGCCTAGAAAAGGTTGGTAAGTCTCATCATTACAAAGCGCATTCCCAGGGGGTCCAGTGGTTAGGACACCACGCTTCCACTGCAGGGGGCACAGGATAAATCCCTGGTCAGGGAACTAAGATCCCCAAAGCCTCACAGTGCAGCTCAAACAAACAGACAAAAAACAATGTCCACGTGATGAACTGGAGAGAGGGGTGTGGGCAAGCGCAGAAGCCACATCCCCCACGTGACCTCAGGCCTCTTTGCTCCCGGCCTGCTGTCCGTGGAGGCCATGTGGTTAAGGACCATTGTCTGGTGGGTGGAATCACAGTTGGAAGTTTTTCTGTTTCCTTATTTTTTATCTCAGGCACTTTGTGAATTTTCCAGGAAGGGCAATCATTAAAATGAAAAAAGAAAGAAAGAAAGAAATTCCTTAACATTGGCTGAATTGTTTGTTGTTTCTCAGTCATCAGCCAGCTGTTCAACAGGGGTTAACTGGGAATCTGGGCATCCTGCCCCACCCCAGCCCTGCACTGGGAGCTCTGCCATCAGACGGCAAGAGGCACGCTGGGCGAGGGGAAGGCAGTGGGGGACCCAGGGTGGGCTTCCCTCTGGGACCTGGGCCCCAGAGCTCAGTCTCCCAACCTGTTGTTTTTCCTTCAGAGCTGTTCTGATGTTTTCCTAACAGCTTAATATGTTCCTTGCAGCCACCTCCGTGCCTCTGAAAGCTTCCTTTGAAAAGCACATTAGAATGTGCAGGCGTTTAAATTGGTTCATTGTGGCTTTAATCTCTTGTCTGATGTGTGACTTGACTGGCTTCCAAAAGCTCAGCTTTTATGTGTTTACAAAGCGATGAATGGGAGGAGCAGAAGCAAGCTCCCAGAGTTTCAGATGGCAGGGCATGGGGAAGCTCTAAGCACCAAAAGGCATTGTGGTTTTGGAGACTCCTTCTTCCGGTTGGAAATGCCTAGGACCTGGGAGGCGTGGTGGGTTTGGAGACCGGGAAACACGTCGCATAGAACACTAGGGGTCCAGCAGGGTGAGGCGGGGAGCAGAGGGGCCCCAGACCCAGGAATCAGTCTCAGAGGCGGGCTTCTAACCTCGGATGGGGGACCACTAATGGTAAGCTTGGTGAAGTTGCAGGCAGAGTTCAAGAGACCAGGGTCTCTTGGCCCATTCTGCCAAACCACTTCATTCCAGGTCAATGAAACACACAGGAATTAATCACACGCTCCTAGCTAGGCTTGATGCTACAACCTTAGGAGCAAATAAGTGGGCACGATCCCTGCCCCAGGAAGTTTCCAAAAGAAAAGCTACATTTGAACATGTGTAAGGGCTGCAGCCAGGTTGAGGATTTGAGGGGAGGGAGATGGACTGTTACTATGGACCCCTTCTCATAATAAAGGCTTTAAATGCTGAGACTAAAAGCTAGAATTACAAGGAAAGCAACCATATTAAAACATAGTCAACAAAATACTAAAAATCAGGAATTTCCTGGCAGTCCAGTGGTTTGGACTCCACGCTTTCACTGTTGAGGGCCTGGGTTCAATCCCTGGTTGGGGAACTAAGATCCCTCAAGCTGAGGGGTGCAGCCAAAATAATAAATAAAATAAACAGAATTCATAAAGAAAAAATATTATAAAAATTATATTATAAATTATTATAAAATACTAAAAATTTAAAAATACTAAAAATCAAATTCATCACACACATACAATCTTATCAACACATTAAATCACAAGATCTAATAACAACGGGCCCAATAACTACCAGACTTTTGAAATAGTGATGGGCATAAACTACATTTCAAGGTATCTATAATGACGACAATGCAACATAAAAATATATGTGACAAAGTTATAACCAGGCTATTAGCAGAGTGGGCTTGGTTTTGGCTTGGCCTCCTGTGCAATTGAAGAGACTGCCTCAGTCAGAGGTCAGCAGCAGTTCAATCTGTTGCCTTCAATCTGTTGTTACCAAGTCCGTGGACTCGGGTAAGAATCCTGCCCTAAGCCTTCTCCCGGCCGACAGAAAGGACAGCCTCTTTCCTTACGGAAATTTAAAAGTTTAAGTTTGGACTTCCCTGGTGGCACAGTGGATAAGAATCTGCCTCACAGTGCAGGGGACACGGGTTCAATCCCTGCTCTGGTTAGATTCCACATGCCTCGGAGCAACTAAGTCCGTCAAACACAGCTACTGAAACCCATGTGCCTAGAGCCCGCGAGCTGCAACAAGAAGTCACGGCAACGAGAAGCCCTCACTTTGCAACGAAGAGTAGCCCCCTCTCGCAGCAACTAGAGAAAGCCCGAGCAAAGCAACGAAGACCCAGAGTGCCCCAAAATACTTAATTAAGTTTTTTTTATTAATTATTTATTTGGCTCTGCCAGGTCTTAGTTGCGGTATGTGGGATCTGGTTCCCTAACCAGGGAACGAACCTGGGCCCCCTGTTTTGGGAGTGTGGAGTCTTAGCCGCTGGAACACCAGGGAAGCCCCGAAATTATTATTTTTTTAATAAATTAAAAATAAAAATTTCAACTTGAAAAGCAAATGTGCAGCTCCAGAAAAACCCACTCATAACTGGTTCATGAACCAAGAAGACCTCCCTCACCAAGAAGGTCATGGACTTCCCTCTGTGACCTCAATGGACTCCAATAAGCTTCTGCCCACCCCCCATCCCTCCTGGTGGGAACCAGAGGCGGCTTCCTAAAACACAAAGCCAGCTGACCCGTGCCCTGTTTATGAGATACAGTGCAGCGTGGCCTTCCGATCGACCCCCAAGCCCTGAGCCTGATCCTGTTTCCAGTCTTGCTTCCTCCCGCATCACCTCACAGCAACCCCAGGGCAGACTTGCGGTTCTTCACTCCTCTCTGACACAGCCAAGACCAAGACCACGACCTCTGCTCCCTCTGCTAAAAGCAAGCCCCTCCCCAAAGCTTTCCGCTGTGGGACCCCAGAGCATCGTGATCACCAGCTACATTTTCTGGGCGGGCCGCCTCCCCTCTTGCTGCCTTTCCACCTCCACACC